CTATTGTACATTCTATATAAGAAGAAGACGGAAAATATGTGAATTATTATCTTAAGGCTAGTGTTTTAAGTCATAATTTTTACTCAGACTCAGAAATGTGATTGATACGGTGTGAACGAAGAAGAAAAAAAGTCCACGTGTAATTGCCCAATTTGTTCACACCTAATAGTTCATTAGTAACTTTTGTATTGTTTTAAATTAATTTAAAAGATAAACGCTTAAATGTGAAAATTACGTGTAGAATTTTCCGGTGAATAATTGTAATCAACAGATGAGATTTATGGAAGGAACAAATAAAGGATCATTGTATCATAATTAGATAGTACAACTCAATTAAATCTAAACTTGAATCTAAATCAACTATTTTATTACAAAAATCCAATGGCATCAGCAGAATATTCATTAAGTAAGCGCACTTATCAAGAACATCTAGAGAGCAATTAAGAGAATTACACTCGTCAATCATCGCTTTATCGTTCGGACTTAAAATACTAGATCTCAGAGAGCTTTTTGCACAACGGGTTTAATGTTCTCTCTCAAGATCCAATTTCATTTCATATCTCTTGCCAAATCTTTTGCTTCTTATTCACAGTTATTCTGTGGGCTTTTTTTCGCCCAAAACAATTCTTTGCCAGAACTTCTTGTCTAGTGCTTTGACCCAATTCTGTCTGGCTAGATTGATTCGATACTTCAACAAGTTGAATCGCAATTATTCATACCGAAAATAGGTCTTCCTTCGAATATTCTTCATCTTCGCGCGGTTTTTTCTTTTCCAAATTCACCATACATAATAATTCTTGGCATTTCTAATTCAACACAAAAGCATTACCGTGTTAAATCACGCGACGAAACACGAGTAGACAGAAATTCCCGCTCAACAAAAAAAGAAACAACAACTTCAAATATAATTTTCATTCACAACACTTGAAGGTACTTTTCCAGACACTCTTTGGGTATAAATAGAGATATTTTGTGTGTACTTTTCACCTCTAGAGTTGGCAAAAAATTTAAACAATTCAAAGACAACGCCATGTGTTGCGATAAACATCTTATGGCAATAATAATCATATCATTGCCATAAGTAAGCCCAAACATGCATATTCAGCGGGAAATTTTACACTCAAAAAAATCACTAAAAAGCCAACAAATCAAGGTATGAAATTGACTTTACTGACTCGAATGTGCAGAGAGAGAAAAAGAGAAGGCAATTATCCCGTCAATATCGCGTACACTCAATGAATTACAGAAACCATCATTAATTATTTTCTGCACAGAAAACACAACAAGACACTTCCGTTCACCCACACAGCGTTGCATCTGTTTTGGCAATACTGACAATGGCCCCAGTGTGCAGAATTCTGCATAAATTTATGCAGAGACATGTTGCAAGAAGCCGTGATTCATATTTTTAGTGCGCGGCTTTCCCGAAAGACACTTATTGTATTTCACTCTGAGCATTATTTATGGTGTAAACTTGAACTTGTCTTTCATATACTGTTTTGTGCACTCACTTAATTCGTATTCACAAGAAATTCATGCGAGTTGCGATTTCCAATTGGCTTTCAAATAATCATTATAAGTGAGTGGTTTATAATTTCAGGCCTTTAAAAATTGAATTGCAATAAAAATTACCAGATTATTGCTATTTAATGTCAACCTTCAAGTGGAGTGAGAATTTGAAATGCTTAATTGCCACCAGTTTACACGCAGTATCAACTCAAGTACTTTTAACAGATTTGTCGTAAAAATTTTTAATTAAATTCTTATACTGTAATTTTCATTCCACACAAAACATCGCCCTTTTCAGCTAACAAATCATGATAATATATTTGAGAATGACATAATGCATGAAAGACGCTCCAAAAGCTGATTTTCATAAAATGTATAAATTCAGAAGAAATCACTTTATAGCTCTCAATCCCACTCCATTGAATTATCATTCATTATCAAAGAGATTAATGTATGGATTTCTTCACTATCGAAAATCAGGCCTTCAGCTTCTCTGGCTCTGATTTGTTGAATATTGAATTTGACGTCTGAATTTGATGTTGTATTTCACATAAAAATTCTCTAGGTCAATTTTCTCACACACCAAAATGACCATAGAGCTGTTGCTCTACCATCGCGCAAAGAGACAGACAAGAAATATGAATTTTCTTGGCAACATACCGCACGTGACATTGCTGAAAATGTCTAAAATAATAAAGTTTGGAAGTTAATCATGAGTTTTTCAGATAATTCCAACCGTTGAGAGTCCAATGAACTACAGAATACACGATGTCTTTGTCCTTTGCAAACATTGTTCTTTCTCAGAAATATTTTTCTGTCTCTCTCTTGAGATTTATCGTGCAATGATCTTCTCGCATGGCTCACAGGTCAAGTTCACGTGGCACAAAAGGAAGCGAAAACTTGAATTTCCAGACGAAAATTTGCCTGACTTTCATCACAATTTGTTTTTGTCAACATCACAAAATTTATTCATTTGAAAATTTCACATATTGATTTTTCCTGGAAGAAAAAAATCCCACCAATGTTAGCCGACTGCCCTACAAATATACACCAATTCTATGACGTGCGTATATAGTAAGAGAGCAGTTTGGCGCAAGGTTATAACTCCATATGTACTGGTGAAGTAGTGCGAAAGGTATTTACTGAGACGCGCTATATATTATTGCAGCAATCTCCACCACTATCAAGCTTTGCAATCACTATTTATACGTGCTGTTTTTATTTATGTGCTGGTGCAAGAAAGAAATCATGAAAAAGCATCAGGAAATCAAATGCATACGATTGTAAAATTACATAAGGGGAAAAATTTACTGGCGAATATGTTAAACTTTATGTTAACAGCTTTTGTACAGCAATTTTCCGTAATTAAAAGAGAGTGAGAGGAAAAATAGGTTGGTTTTCGTGAATTTCGCAAAAATTTCTGTTACATATTTGCAATTAAGCCAGTGACATTGCGAGAAAGTGAATAAATTTCCTCCACACTTTGTGAAGCTTATGAAATCATCCAGATATTCTAATTAAGCATTGGGATAATGAATTATAGCTCAGCTTATTGGCTGTGTGATTGTCTGTAAATCACGAGGAAATTAATCAATTACTATATTTCATAGTTGGAACAATTCCAAACCATTCATTGACATAACATTCAAGTCCCAATTGTGCCAACAATTACTTCACAATCACTCCAATTATCATGCCAAAGGAGACTTTATGTATTGCCGAAGCCTTATCACTCATTTTATTGATGGTTTAATTCTGCTGGATAAATTAATGGTTTTTGCCTCATCCAAATGATTTATTAAAGAACCTCCTCTGACAGACACTTTTTCAGTTCCACCATTTATGCAAATTGCCAATCAATCAGTAGAGCATTAATTTATGACACTCAAACTCCCAAATAAGGTGCAAAAGGTGAGAGGAAAAGTTCATAAAATTCTGATAAGTTGTTACTTTTCACTATGCGAAATCGCTAAAACGGCAAAGTTGACCATCAAATAGATCCGAAATGATTTATTTTGTTTTGAAAATAAATAGGATTAAAGCTCAATTTATTGCCCCTCAGCCATTTTCTCAGTATCTAATGCAATAAATTCCATCACTCTATTGCCGCACTACAACTTTATGTACCACATATAAATCCACCTGTCGATTTGACCTCACATAGACACGCTATATATAATTCCCATCGAGAAGAGATTACACGAAAAACTTTTGGCACCGCGATATTTGATGACTTTCTTCCAACAGATCCGTGCGAGATATGTTCGCGCAAGCTTAATTTCATGTTAAACCTTTCTTTTTAAGGTGTGTGAGTCGCCATAAGACATGTCGTAACTATTAAAAACGTGTGCCTGTGGGCAAGTCAAACACGTTCTTCTCCTCTTTTTTTTACGGCCAACTGTTGAAATTAAGATAATAAGACTAAATCTTTCCATTATTATGGATAGAGCTTGAAGAATTGTTATATTAAAAAAAAAACCTTTAAATTCGCAAACTCTAATCATTTTCATGTGAAGATCTATTTTCACACTCTTTCTATCTACTCAAAACACTCTAAAGAAGAACGCGATCTACTTTATCTGACGGCATAATCGATTTTAGAACACTTTTTGCCCTCACGTTCTTATTGAAACACAGAAAATAACCGTGTTGCCGATGGAATTTCGCACAAGAATAACGGCGCTTCTCTCTTTGATTCCACCAATTTTCAATTAGTTACACGAATTTTTTATCAACTTTCATAGTAATGCGTTATGTTGTGCAAAAACATAATAAAATGCTTCACTGCAATAATTATCTAGGAAGGAGACGTATTAATATGACAATATATAAGATTAAGAGTAAAATAATAAATCTTATCTATAATTGTCTTGATAATGAGCCGGTAATTTCGTAGATGAACTGGATTTACATTTGTACTGTTGCAGAAAAAACGATACTCAACACTAAAAGTGTCTCTCAATTTTCCTCCTGAACCACCTGAAATTTCCACCACCCAAAAACTCTTCATGTCTGTCTCGCTCTTTTATTATCATGTTAAAGCGTTTTTTTTTTTTTTTGAGGAGAAGAATAACAGAGTCATTCTTGAGTGTATTTGGCTGGAGGAAGCCAAGTTTATTGCCTTGCTTATTCCCACCAGTCTGCGTCTCTCTGCAATTATGTTGCCACCAAAGGAATCGCGAGCTCTTCCACAGAACACCCAACGGGACTCTGGTCACTTCTTCTTGAGACACAAACGAATTCAGACTCAAGTTCTTCATCCACTCCACTTAACACGCTGCTCGCGATCACTCCCCAGAAGCTCTTTGCCTCCACCACGACTGATCTCCAACCGTCCGCACGGTTTTTCGGTGGCCCAGATTGAATATTTTGTCACTCTTGCACCACCCACCACACCAGAAGCAGTCAAAAGTACATGAAGAGTGTGCGTGATAAGTGAACAACTCATATTGCATTTAATCTTTGGTGCATTTACTGACATTCTCGCGAATATGTGGCAAATATTTCGTGATATCCGATGGCTGTGGATGCAATTGTTGTGTCTGCAAGTGCTCTTCGTGAAGTGCGGCATGTCCATTTACTTCTTCAACCCATACATGCCACCCACCTATGGATTCACCCTCGACAACTCCATCGACCACTACACTAATCTCATGCAGAACATCTCGCAGCACATGGGCGGACTCAGTGCCTACCCAAATACACTATTTGGTAAGACACTGCATTAAGCCGAAAGTTACCCGTTTTCCGTTATTATATCACCTTTAATCAATTCACTTTACGACAGCGTCCATTCAGATTGTTATTTTACTTATTTTATGAACAATTCGACTAACCAGTGTAATTTCCTCAGGCTTTCCCTCACCGCCCTCCTCGGCAAACACAGTGAAAGAGTATGATTTCATAATTGTGGGCTCAGGACCGGCTGGCTGTGTGTTGGCGAATCGCCTGTCAGAGAATCCAAATTGGAAAGTGCTCCTCCTCGAAGCCGGCGGCCTGGAAACCATTTTCCACGATATTCCTCTCCTGGCCGCTTATCTGCAGTCAACAGCCTCCAACTGGGGATATTTGACAGAACCCGAGCCCGGAGTTTGTTGGGGTAAGACTTTCTTTCCGGATCTCACATAGAAGTTCAATACTATGTAGAATTCTTTATGAAAACTGCTTCGCAATCAAGTGAACTTTCAAGACTTATTGTCTACAATCGTAGTCATAATTGTGATTGAAGGTTAAGAGCATCATATAATATTTTATTATTTCCCGTTGAAGTGAAATACGATTGACAAACAACTACGAAATCACATAAATCTAAACAACTCAATAATTTCGCGCCATACATAAAAATTCCATATTTTAACGATTTTGCCAAATTTTTGGTACAAAAAAATCATGACAAAATATGTCTAAATCGTAAAATTTTTATTTCCTTCCAGGAATGTATGATCAAAAGTGTGCCTTTCCGAGAGGAAGAGTTCTGGGTGGTTCGAGTTCCATCAACTACATGATCTACAACAGAGGAAATCGTCGCGACTATGATAGATGGTCTCAAGAGGGAAACTACGGATGGTCGTATAACGAAGTCTTGCCGTACTTCTTGAAAACCGAGCGATCCATGCTCAAGGGATTGGAAAGCTCACCTTATCACAATAGATACGGCGAGTTGAATGTCGAATATGTGCCATACAGAACTCCTGCAGCAAGAGCCTTTGTCAAGGGTGCTCAACAGGCGGGATATGCAAAGCTCGACTATAATGGCGAGAGTCAAGTTGGAACATCCTTCGTACAGGCAACAACATATAGAGGAGTTCGTCACAGTGCTTCCAGTGCCTTGCTGAGACCTATCAAGAAACTTCGACCCAATCTGAAGATCCTGATCAATGCTAGAGTGACGAAAATCCTCATTGATCCCGAATCAAAGGCCGCCTATGGCGTGGAGTACATTAGGAATAAGAAAACCAGGACAGTTCACGCCAGCAGAGAGGTCATTGTCTCCTCGGGAACCTTCAACACACCACAACTCCTAATGCTCTCGGGCATTGGCCCTGCAGACCACCTAAATGAACTTGGCATTCCAGTGATTGAAGATCTGCCTGTGGGCAAAGTAATGTACGATCACATGAGTCACATCGGACTCATATTCACTGTCAACACAACAGGAAACACGCCGGCCACGAATCGCATCACTCTCAAGCAAATCACCGATTATCTCCACGGCAAAGGTCCTTTCACCATGATTGGAGGCGTTGAGGCGCTCACATTCTACAAATCTCCCAACAGTCTGGATCCACCAGACTGGCCAGACGCCGAAATCATCACCATCGGCGGAAGTCTGGCGTCAGATGAAGGAACAGGTGTTCTGCGAGGAATGAATATCAGACAGGAAATCTATGACACAATATGGAGACCACTCGAAACCTTACCAACAGATCACTGGTCGGCTTTTGTTATGCAATTCAGACCCAAATCCACTGGTCAAGTGAGATTGCAAGACACTAATCCACTGAGTTGGCCCAAATTGTACCCAAATTTCTTCCAATACGAAGAAGATTTGGAAATCTTACTTGAGGGGACAAAGGAAGTCATCAGGATATCTCAAACACCAGCCATGCAAGCGATAGGAACTCGAATTTGGGATATTCCACTGCCAAATTGCGCTCATCTTCACTTCGGCACTGACGACTACTGGAGATGCTCAATAAGAACTTTATCGTGCACTCTTCATCATCAAGTCAGCACTTGTCGAATGGGACCCACCAATGATCAGACTTCAGTTGTGAATCCCGAATTGAAAGTTCATGGCATTCACAGACTTCGCATAGCCGATAACAGCATATTACCTCATCCAATCACAGGACATACAAACGCTGTGTCCTTCATGATTGGCGAAAAGTGTGCCGATATGATAAAATCCGATGCGGCGCAGGGAAGATTGGAAAAGTTAAAGATTACATTTCTATCGTGAAATTTTAAACGAATTTATAAAGTAATAAAAATAAATGAAACAGTTTAATCTTAAATACATAATTTACTTAATAGTTTTCCTCACTGCTTCTTACTTCTCCCTTCTCAACTCTATGATTTGCTTCAATGAATACTGAACCATTCTTGAGAAAAGTACATTTTATTGAAATAAAATATATCAAGTTTCTGCAGAAGACTTTCTCAATATTGGTCAGTTCGTCTGGAAAACTTATCACATTAATACACATATTCATTAGCCAATTCATCAGTCTTTTCTCACTTAAAACGCGGCTTTGTTGTGGCTGACTTTGCATGCCTTGTCCAAAGCAAACAATGAAAGAGTGCGTGTAAACTTCATGTATTTATTCAATTATTATTTATTACTTCCAATAATATTAGCGAATATCGTTCAATTAATGCATGTGTGTTTTATTACTTTATCTTCTGACATTCTTTCTACAACATTTTCGCGCCTCCTTAAAAAGCTCTCAAAAAATAGAAGGAAAATCTGCATAATTCCTTCTCAATACCATCAAAAAATCATCTAAAAAACCCAATTATCAAGTATAAAACACTTAAATGAACCTGGTTGATGAAACGGAATGATATCAAGTGATGTGAATCGTTTGTGATGTGCGAAATTAGGTGGAATTTAATCTTTGACCAGTTTTTTGCCATTATTTTCCACGTCCACTGAAGGAGAAAATAATAGTTCCGAAAAGTGTGCAAGAAGAAAACAAAGGACTGAAGTAGTTTGATTGAACATTTCCGTCCTTATCTGACATTTTTATTATGTGTCTCCATTTCATTAACACTTTAAAACTTCCTATTCTAATCTAATCTTATCTAAATCTTAAATATGCTTCATTAAATATAGTTACAGGCTAATAACAACAATCCTGTAACTCCCACCATTCTTGGCAAAATATACCAATCAAAGACTATACGAAGAATACTTCGAATATTGGTCAGTTCTATTTGACTTCTAGTGGCAAACGCACACAAGTTGTTCAATTATTTCAGTAGGATTTTTCATTTTCACCTTAAGCAAGAGTGCGTGATTTGTTAAAGACTTACTATTTAGAACGTTAATCAATTAATTGCAGTTATGTGGCAAATATCGTGCAATCAATGGATTTGTGTTTTATTGCTGCATCTTCTGATATTTTTCGTGAAATGCGGAATGTCAATAGACTTCTACAACCCCTTCGTGTCTCCTTCGTATGGATTCACCCTCGACAACTCCATCGATCACTACACAAATATCTTGAGAAATTATTCTCAAAACACTGGAGGAAAATCTGCATATTCCTTCTCAATTCCATCAACATTGCCTTTCGCACAAGAGTTCGACTTTATAATCGTGGGCGCTGGACCAACGGGATGTGTTTTGGCTAATCGCTTGTCAGAAAACCCCAATTGGAAGGTTCTTCTTCTCGAAGCTGGAGGTCAAGAGACGTATTTCCATGGCGTTCCTCTCATAGCAGCTTTTCTGCAGGCAACAGCCTCCAATTGGGGTTATTTGACAGAACCCGAGCCCGGAGTTTGTTTGGGTAAAAGTTTTATAATAAGATAATACATAAAAAGAATATTATAACACGTACAATTCTGCTATTTTTCAGGAATGTATGGGCACCGTTGCGCATTTCCTCGAGGGAAAGTTCTAGGTGGTTCAAGTTCAATCAACTACATGATCTACAATCGAGGAAATCGTCGGGATTTCGACAGATGGGCGCAGGAAGGAAACTATGGATGGTCGTATAATGAAGTCTTGCCGTACTTCATGAAGTCAGAGCGATCAACGCTCAAAGGAGTCGTGGATTCGTCTTATCACAACAAATATGGCGAGTTGAATGTCGAGTATGTTTCGTACAGAACTCCAGCGGCGCGAGCTTTCGTCAGAGGCTCGCAACAGTTGGGCTACAGATTGACGGATTACAATGGAAGGAATCAAGTCGGAACGTCCTTCGTTCAGGCCACAACTCGACGCGGCGTTCGTCACAGCGCTTCAAGCGCGTTCTTGAAACCAATCGTCAACAGACCTAACCTCAAGATCATGATCAACAGCCGAGTGACGAGGATTCTGATCGATTCGGACACGAAGATCGCGTACGGAGTGGAATATGTGAGAAACAGGAAAACCATGCGAGCTTATGCAAACAGAGAAGTGGTTTTATCAGCGGGAGTCTTCAATTCTCCTCAGCTTCTAATGCTATCCGGAATTGGTCCTCGAGATCATTTGAAGGAGCTCGATATTCCAGTTATTCAGAATCTCCCCGTTGGCCAAATTCTGTACGATCATATGAGCCACTCAGCCTTGACATACACAGTTAACACAACTGGATACTCACCATCTTCAAGTCAGCTAAGAATTGATGACTTCACTGATTATTCACTCTTCGGAACAGGAAGATTCTCTATAATAGGAGGCATTGAAGCACTCACTTTCTACAAATCACCAAACAGTCGAGATCCTCCGGATTTGCCAGATGCCGAAATTATGTTCGCCGGAGGAAGTTTTGCTTCGGACGAAGGAGCAGGAACAATCAGAGTAGCAAATGTTCGCCGAGATATCTATGAGACAGTGTGGAAACCTCTAGAAAGTTCATCATCAGATCACTGGATGGGTCTTATTATGCAATTCCGGCCCAAATCCAGAGGATATGTGAAATTGAGTGACAAGAATCCTTGGAGTTGGCCAAAAATCTATCCAAACTACTTTGATTATGAAGAAGATCTGGAAATTTTACTTGAAGGAACGAAAGAAGCCATTAAAATAGCCCAAACGCCAGCAATGAAGGCGATTGGAGCAAGAATTTGGGATGTTCCTTTGCCAGATTGTGCGCATCTTCACTTCGGTACTGACGACTATTGGAGATGTTCAATAAGAACAATGTCATTCACAATTTATCATCAAACAAGCACCTGTAAAATGGGTCCTTATTATGACAGAACCGCCGTGGTTGATCCTGAACTGCGTGTTTACGGAATCCAGAAACTTCGTGTCGCTGATACAAGCGTCGTTCCTCTCCCAATCACCGCACATACAAATGCTGTTTCTTACATGATTGGCGAAAAGTTGGCCGATATGATAAAGGCTGATTGGAAGCGTGGATTGTTGCAGAAGACCAAAATGACGTTCGTGTAAGATTTTAGTATAATAAAATAAATTAAGGCATCTCAGTTCGTGGGTGGGACCAAATTGAGGGGTTTTGCTGTGTTTCTGTGTTCTAAATTGCCTTCAGTTGGGGGTGTTGAGCAATAAGTTAATTAAATTAATTGAATAGTTTGTGGAAGGCGACGAACACAGCATATTTAGCTGAAATTCATTTTCTTCTCCGTACTACGTTTCGGGATTTTCATTTACGCTTTTCTCAGGTCTATAAAAAGTTTAGCAATGAGTTTAAGATGAAGTTTCATGACTATAAATGAGTAATACACACTCGAAAGAAAAAAAATTGCCTCAAAGATTCTTCAATTAATTCAAATAGAAAAATACTCTGAAATTCCTTTAGAAAAATTATTCTTATCGCATGATTAATATTGCATATGCTTTTCACAAATATTCATATTGCCCCCTTCTTAATCTATAGAAGACTTGCTTCATTGAGCATCGCGTTGGGTGCTAGACTTGTCTCGTCACTCCCACCATTCTTGGCAAAGTGAACCACTCAAAGAATTGGCAACTTCTGCAGTAGTCACTTTGCGAGGCATTGGTCAGTTCTATTAGCGATTTAACCACAATCGCACACAAGTTGCTTAGCCATTTCAGTTGCATTTTTCATTTTCATTTTCGCCTTAAGCAAGGTGTTGTTGCAGTGGCCCAGTTTGCATGTCTTGTCGAATGTAAAGCGCGAAAAAGAGTGCGTGATACGCTTAACACTTGTTATACTTATGACTTCAGAACTTCGATTAATTTAGTTATGTGGCGAATATCGTTCAATCAAAGCATGTGCATTTTATTACTTCACTTTCTGACATTCTTCGTGAAATATGGAATTTCAATAGACTTCTACAACCCCTTCGTGCCTCCTTCGTATGGATTCACCCTCGACAACTCCATCGATCATTACACAAATCTCATGAGGAATATCTCTAAAAACACAGAAGGAAAATCTTATTATTCTTTCTCAATCCCATCAACAATGCCTTTCGCACAAGAGTTTGACTTTATAATAGTTGGATCTGGACCAGCTGGATGCGTTTTGGCCAATCGCTTGTCAGAAAATCCCGATTGGAAGGTTCTTCTTCTCGAAGCTGGAGGCCAAGAAACCCTTTTCCACGATATTCCTCTCATGGCGGCATATTTTCAATCAACGGGATCTAATTGGGGATATTTTGCTGAACGTGAACCCGGAATTTGCTGGGGTAATTGTCAAGAGATAAAATTTATCACTTTGTAATCTTTAATGTTATTCTCATTTTTCAGGAATGAATGGACAACGTTGCGCATTTCCTCGAGGGAAAATATTAGGCGGGACTAGTTCTATGAATTATATGATCTACAATCGAGGAAATCGTCGGGATTTCGACAGATGGGCGCAGGAAGGAAACTATGGATGGTCGTATAATGAAGTCTTGCCGTACTTCATGAAGTCAGAGCGATCAACGCTCAAAGGAGTCGTGGATTCGTCTTATCACAACAAATATGGCGAGTTGAATGTCGAGTATGTTTCGTACAGAACTCCAGCGGCGCGAGCTTTCGTCAGAGGATCTCAGCAATTGGGCTACAGATTGACGGACTACAATGGAAGGAATCAAGTGGGAACGTCCTTCGTTCAGGCCACAACTCGACGCGGCGTTCGTCACAGCGCTTCAAGTGCGTTCTTGGAACCAATCGTCAACAGACCAAACCTCAAGATCATGATCAACAGCCGAGTGACGAGGATTCTGATCGATCCGGACACGAAGATCGCGTACGGAGTTGAATATGTGAGAAACAGGAAAACCATGCGAGCTTATGCTACCGGTGAAGTTGTCATCTCGGCAGGAGCCTTTAATTCTCCTCAACTTCTTATGCTGTCCGGAATTGGCCCTCGAGATCATCTGAAGGAACTCGATATTCCAGTCATTCAGGATCTCCCAGTTGGCCAAATTATGTACGATCATATGAGCCATGGAGCTTTAACTTTCGTGGTCAATTCAACAGGCTTTTCTCCTTTTACAAGTCAGCTAAGAATTGATGATTTCACCGATTATTTCCTCCACAGAACAGGAAAATTCTCTTTAATAGGCGGAGTTGAAGCTCTAACATTTTATAAATCACCAAACAGTCGAGATCCTCCGGATTGGCCAGATGCCGAAATTATTTTCCTCGGTGGAAGTTTTGCTTCAGATGAGGGAACAGGAACAATTAGAGGAATGAATATACGACAAGATATATACGATACTGTGTGGAAATCTCTTGAGAATTCACAAACAGATCTTTGTGGTGCTTTTATTATGCAGTTCAGACCCAAATCGAAAGGATACGTGAAATTGAGAGACAAGAATCCTTGGAGTTGGCCAAAATTCTATCCAAATTACTTCCAATACGAAGAAGATTTGGAAATCTTACTTGAAGCGACGAAAGAAGCGATTAAAATAGCCCAAACGCCAGCAATGAAGGCGATTGGAGCAAGAATTTGGGATATTCCTTTGCCAGATTGTGCGCATCTTCACTTCGGCACTGACGATTATTGGCGTTGCTCAATAAGAACGCTGTCTTTGACGCTCCATCATCAAGTCAGCACTTGTAAAATGGGTCCTTATTACGACAGAACCGCTATTGTTGATCCTGAATTGAGGGTTTATGGAATTCAGAAGCTTCGCGTGGCCGATTGCAGTGTCATTCCTCATCCTCTTACAGGACACACAAATGCAGTTTCATTCATGATTGGCGAGAAATTAGCTGATATGATTAAGGCTGATTGGAAATGTGGATTGTTGCAAAAGACCCAAATCACATTTGTGTAAACGATAATTTAGTGAATAAGGAAATACATAAGCCTAAAATTATAATTCAATCTCCTGAATTGGAAAAACGTGCTGAAATTCAATCGCAATGGATTTGCTCACCACATTGCAAACATTCTTGATTCTACTCTTTTCTTCTTCCCCATTTAGAGGTTCTCAAACTCGGATCTGTGCATAAAGTGGGGCTTCACTATCACTTTTCCACAGTGTCGCTGGCAAAAGGGGATTAAAAGGACTACGTGTGTTTATATAAACGCCATGAAGTGAAAAAAAGAACGCAGATAAAAAGGGGTGCATATTTATCGTGTTGATTAACGCTCGAGATTATTCCTTGCCCAGGAAGCGTTTCACTCATTGTCAGCCACCCTCAATGTCTCATTTTCCAACTCATTACGACTCAAGAGGAGACCACAGGAAAAAAAATCACCTTTATCATGCCGAATCATTTAATTCCATTGGCAAAAAGGGACCTTTTTTTCACTTCCTCCCTTTCTCTCAATGGCTCATTTTCCCGGAAATGGAACACCTTCGGCAATTCCCACCCTGTCCGTACGCATCTCAACACAGCATTATCGATTTATCGCCGCATGATTTTCATGTGTGGCAGAAAATGGGCGACAACCACTCAAATAAAAATGCTAAAAGCTTTCCCCCAAATTAAATAGCAATACTCATAGGCATTCCCTCTCTGACCACATCTTTCACAGGTCAGTGCCCTTCATTGATGTTGACATGACCCGATTCAGGATCTCGCTTTTCGCTTGTGTGAAGAACTCTTTTATTTTTTGGGGGGTGAAATTCTCTTACTTTTTCCCGCGTATTATAGAAGTATTTTCACTATAAATTTACAGTGAAACACGCATTTCTTCCTGCTTTCCTTCCTCAACGCCCTCAATTTTCTTCAAATACCAACACACACAGTGGAAAACTCATTAAATTTCCACTTATACTTTGTCTATCATCGATTTTTATATAATAAAGTGTGAAATGGAAAAAGCCATGGAGAAAAATTTCACTGAAACTACGTGCATAATTCTACGCACATGAATAAATTATAAAATCAATTACTATTATGCATATTTTCACAATTTCATGAGGTTCTATTTATGGAATTTCCCCTTAATCTCTATCAATCTCCAATGCGACTGGACAATATATCAAGAGGGAGTGTTTTGTGCAGCAGGAAAGGAAGACAGGAAGTCGAACAAACCACTGACGTTACAGAGAAAAAACACCGAAAGCAAATCGATAGTCGGTGTTCAAATAGAAATTAATCGAATTCCACGCCAGACATTCAATTTACCTCATCCAATTGAATTATAGTGTCACAGAGCTAACATATGTCAAATCGATAGACGTGCGTCTCATTAAAATTCGATGGAACACCACAAAATCACCAAAATCATTCAATAGCAGGTCGAAAAATCTATCCCATATTAATTCTATTCTCAATATTAGAACCACAATCTCAAAGTTCTATTTATAGTTAATCGCCTTTCAAGTGAATCTCATCATAAGCAACCGCTGAGAATAAATAAATTATGGCATTTTTCATATTCTTGGAAAATACTCCTGAAACATTTAATCATTTTTCGGTAAATCATCAACTCCAAAAGGACCCTCGAAATAATCTTTGTCATGCAAATTTCACGTCTGCCGAAATGCTGGCGAATGTTTCAAGTCCCCAACACAGCGGAATACATAAATTTTATGAGTGACAAGGGGTCAATGTGATGTCTGAATTCTGAGGAATTCTCAAACCAAATATACATAAATCTCCACTGTTAGCAAGACACACTCTAAAACTTACAACAAATGTTTATTAAATAATAATTTCAATTAGCGAATCTTACTTAACAAACCTCAATTCACTTCTTTCTTCGATTTTTTTTCTGCACAATTCCATAGGAAATTAAGTAGGTTTATCGCCAAAAAGAGAAGAGTGAGAATAAAGGTTGTCTTTCTTCATCATCATCCTGGCAAAATCTCAGGATGATGAGCAATAAAACACATTAAAACCAACACACAAAAGAATGATTCTGTTCTGGGACAGGTTTTCAGATGAAAGATTAATGTTTCACAGAAAGCAATTATCAATTTTTTGTAAAAGTCTCACGTGCATTTTTATTGAGTGGATCTCCAACTGAGGGAAGTGTAATAAATTTCGGCATGTTGAAGATGAACAATGAATTCAAGCAAGAAAGAAACTTCATTGAAATTCTGCCATGACATTCACCCCTTTGAAATGGGTGAAAAATAATGTATTTCAGAGAAAATATGAAATAAAGAAATTAAACTCTTAGAAAGAACATTAAGTGTTAAACCCTGTCAGAAAATTGCGGATGGAACTCAGTGTGTTTTCTCATCGTTTTCATTTTCATTCTGCTTTTATCACACTTCGCAAAATTAAACTTCACTAGTTGACTGGAGAGCGTTGACCAAATTGGCCAATATTTCCGGGCGAGTAAATTACGCATTCATCAGCGATAAAATCTCAATTGAATGCCTGACCAGAGTTTCACAAAACACATCGCGATAAGACATTCAGTGATAGTCAAACCCGCGAAAATGCGATAATTTTCCTGTCAATGTCGCAATCGACAAGAATGACTCGTGTTTGGATTGTTTCATCATCAGAGCACCGATAAGGCTTTCCAGGCCCAAAATCTTGGCCAGCAGAGGGTCTCTTTGGGGCAACAATATAGTGAGAAAGGGGGGCGCGCTATAAATAGCCATGCGAGCGCGCCTCTCTGGCGTTGATCGCAAATTTTCGTCGTGCCGTCTTTTTTTCTGTATGTCATCACCCTCAGGGGGTGTTCATGGGGCGGAAAGAGTCGTTAAATGGGAATGACATCGTATGAATATTTACTCTTCTGCCTCTGCTCATTCATTGAGGGCAACACAGCGAGTGGCGCTCTTTTGTTGCGTACTGGCGAACGACGATGCGTTATCAAAGGAGGAGTGACGTCAGTCGCGGGTTTTATCCTGACTTTTCAGGGGCGCTCTCTGGGCGCCTCGCAACCCATTTTCCCAGCAATTGTCGCGTCCGGGACGTGCAGGGGGACTCACCTGAAACGATGAGAGCCTCGTTGGGGCCGACAGTGTGGATATTTCCCATGTTTTCGGCGTCCGGACTTGACTGGGTCTGTTGATTTTTATCCAAGCACGATGAAATCCACTCGCCTTATCAATTCTCTCTCCCTTCGCCTATGACACTCACGGGGAATTCCTCCGGTTTCAAACTACTGTAAATATTGGCTTAGCACTTTACACAATCCACCAGATCGTGATATATCACGTGAAGCACCTTTTTTATTGATGAAATCACGACAAATCCACCCTCGATGGTGACCTCGGTTGGGAGCCGCAGGAAAACAAGCTGAAGAAATGGACCAAACCAAAATACACCACACTTTTCACCACTCTCAGTCCCTCTTCTCTGCTTTTGGACACTTTTCAGCTCCTCTCGGGGCACTTTTCACCAGGATTTTCAGCAAAATAGTCGGCACTTTACCACTAATCTCGCCATGAAGACCGCGCTGGGATGTATGGCGTCCGTCAAATGCTTGTCCCAATTCACACACACACACAGCTCGCCACTGCGCAATCTCCGTCCAATTGAGGCTCTCAAGCGGCAGAAAAACACCATTTTCCCCACATTTTATCGCGATTAATCACAATATTTCCACTATTCTGGATTTATGAAACACCAATGATGTCAATAATAGCTGATAACAGGCGGAAAGATAGTGAAATGATGAGTTAATCCTTGCATTTTCAGTAAGTTTCAGAACATCTATTGGGGAATATAAGCAAATTCAACTTAAAGATTCCTTGTCAGTGGCCAAAATCACCTGATATTACTTGATTTTCAGTACTACACTTCAGCATCGTGATCATTTTCTGTTGAACATTCCGAGAAGCATGGAAAAATGCATAAAATCCGATAGAATGCAAATATGGTAAATATTTTCATTGCGCGATGGGCAATTTTTCGTGCTGTGTAAATCCGGCCGCTTTGGATAAAATGAGTGCGATATTGGATAGGATAGTGAGTGAGTGTGTGTGTGAGAGAGAGAGAGAGCGCTTGTGCGCTTGACGTTTGTACTTTTCGATATAGACGCATCGCGTAAAATTAGGAAATTTGTATCATTTTCACCCCGAGGTACTTAAATTGCAGGTAATTATCCAGTAAATATCCCTTCACTGGACACCCCTGAAGGTGCTCCAGGTGGAGGAGTGTGGGAAAATAGGGTGAAAAGTGGGTTTTTCCGTGATTCTCTGGAGGCTGTCATGAGGTGTCTAATATCATCTTTTTTCTGCATCTTTCCAGGAGATTATACACATTTTTAGGCGTATCAGAAGCTAGAAATAGACAAATAGGAACCCAAAATGACTGATTATAGCGATTTAGATCGGCAGATAGAGCAGCTGAAGCGATGCGAGATCATCAAGGAGAACGAAGTGAAGGCGTTGTGCGCGAAGGCCCGCGAGATTCTCGTGGAGGAGGGCAATGTGCAGCGCGTGGACTCTCCTGTGACAGTGAGTATCCCGTCCGGGGGTCCATCAGATGTTTATTAACGCTCGTCCGGACGCTTTGCAGGTGTGTGGTGACATCCACGGGCAGTTCTATGATTTGAAGGAGCTGTTCAAGGTGGGCGGCGACGTCCCAGAGACAAATTACCTGTTCATGGGGGACTTTGTTGATCGGGGCTACTACAGCGTGGAGACCTTTCTGCTGTTGCTCGCCCTCAAAGTGCGCTACCCCGATCGGATAACGCTGATCCGTGGCAATCACGAGTCACGACAGATCACACAGGTTTACGGCTTCTACGACGAGTGCATGCGGAAGTACGGCTCCGTAACTGTGTGGCGCTACTGCACGGAGATCTTCGACTATCTCAGCTTGTCGGCCATCATTGACGGCCGGATCTTCTGCGTGCACGGCGGCCTCAGCCCCTCCATCCAGTACCTCGACCAGATCCGCTCCATCGATCGCAAGCAGGAGGTGCCCCACGACGGCCCCATGTGCGACCTGCTGTGGAGCGACCCGGAGGACACGCAGGGCTGGGGCGTGTCGCCGCGCGGCGCCGGATACCTCTTCGGCAGCGACGTGGTGGCGCAATTCAACACTGCCAACGACATTGACATGATCTGCCGGGCGCATCAGCTGGTCATGGAGGGCTACAAGTGGCACTTCAACGAAACCGTACTCACCGTGTGGTCTGCTCCCAACTACTGCTATCGGTGAGTGGCGTCATAATCTCAATTTCACCGCCAAACTGCAATATTTCCCATCCTTTCTGTTACAGTTGCGGCAATGTGGCGGCTATTCTGGAGCTGAACGAGCATCTGCAGAGAGATTTTACCATCTTTGAAGCAGCACCGCAAGAAAGTCGAGGCATTCCGTCGAAAAAGCCCCAGGCGGACTACTTCTTATAGACGCGCAAACACACAAAATTTCAGTCCTCATCATCCATGCGCCGCTCACGCTGGGGCGCGCGCATTGAGGGATCCCAGATGCGATTCGGCGATCCTCTAGCATTTTTTATTCATTGATTTCTATGTATTTACGAGAATAATCACATCAGCGAGCAAGAAGCAGATAAATAAATTAGGACAACAGACTACGGAAGGACTTTTCCCAAACTCTATCGCGTGGCAAAGAGGCGAGGGATGATGTCACCGCACTTGGCGGAGATCTTTAGGTCTGCATGATCGTCACCGCGTGTAGGGCCGATATTGACTATCACCACGGGAAGACCCAATTCCTTCGTCTGGACCACTAATCGATATCCGGAGAAGACCAAGAGACTCGATCCCAGCACCAAAAGGCCGTCGCTCTCGCAATTCCAGCGCACGATGTCCTCTATTGTCCTCATGGGCACGTTGTCGCCGAAGAATACAATTCTGGGCTTCAGACTGCCGCCACAATTGGGACACGGAGGCACAACGAAGGCGTCGACAGCAGCCTGAGGAATGTCCACATCTCCGTCCGGACGAAGCATCTCCGTCATTGTGGCGCTCAGTGACGGATTGAGGCTGCTGAGGATGTTCTGGAAGTCATGCCGCGGGATTGAATAGTCACAGGACAGGCAAATCACTGTGTATCCGTTTCCGTGGATCTCAATCAGCTTCTTGCTGCCCGCTTTTGTGTGCAAACAGTCGACATTTTGGGTGACAGTGCCCAGAATCCTACCCTCACGCTCGAATCTCGTGAGAGTGTAGTGAATAGGATTGGGTTCCATGCTGGAAAATCTTGGCCAGCCAACGTAATTCCTCGCCCAGTATCTCTTCCGGACGTCAGCATACTTGACAAAGTCCGGGTGTTGAATTGGACGACTATTGCTCCTCGCATAGAGTCCCACACCTTCTGACCGATAGTCCGGTATACCTAGAAGACATTTCTATACAGAAAAACCGTGATTCATGCGAGGATAGAGGGAAAATTACCAGATTCCGTGGAGATTCCAGCTCCTGTGAGAACGAGTATTTTCGACTTATCTCGCAAGAAATCCTCCAATTTCGTAATGTCACTTTGAGCCACTGGATCGTGCTTCGGTACAAACATTCCCTTGCTGTTGTGGTAGACAGAAGAAGATGAAAAAGAGCGAAATGAGGTGGGAATTCGCATTTTTGCAATAAAATAAAAGCGCAGAAATTAGCAAAACACCGACAAAGTGAGGTTAGAGTGGGCAAACATGGAAATGTCAAAACAAATCTGTCAGCTGATTTTTATCCAGACGCTGTCGTGACAGCAAACTTGGCGGCATTTCTAAAAAATTTCACAAAATACTACGTTGTGCGGTGCAAGAGGGGTGGAAAAGTGGTTGTTCTGTGATTTGAGAGCAAGTTCCGTGATTTCTGGTAAAAATTATGCGTCTGCCTGAGGTGGAAAATTTCGGGAAAATAACGCTTGGATAGAGCTGGATAGAGGGGTGTCATCGCCTCCGCAGCCATCTTTCCTCGAAGTGAACAATTCTGTGGGCTTTGAAAAAGATCGTGTGCGGAGCTATTGTGTTTATTTATGGACTTTTCCGTGATTTTATCCACCTCCATACCCCAATTCTATCGCCAAATTACACCCCACACCCTCTCGTGTTGACGGACGTGCGTGACTCGCGGGCAAGTGCGTGCTGAAGGGCAGGAAAAACGTGTGTGTCCATTTATAGTTTATAACACGCCAAAGCGCGTTGCTGCTTCTTGGATGCCAGCCACCACCGAGATATCAATGGAGGCGCATTAGAAGGCGATGGCGACATAGACGCAGCCACAGTAACCCAGAGACCCACACTGCAGCGCGAACAGGACATGGTGCGAGGTGAGTCTGGGCGCCCCCGAGGGGCGCGCGCCTCCGCTGGAGCGCGAGAGAGGCCATCTATCCATCTTGCGGAGCGCCCGAAAGAATTCACCTACTTTGCACTATTTCAATTGCACTTTGCGCTCTCTCGCTCACGCTCGGCCGCCGCGATCGCAGTTCTTTGTGCTGCTGATGCCTTTTCGGTGGAGCGCACAAGAGCCAGGGAAAAGTGTGTGAATGCGCTTGCAGAGTCGGCAATTTGGAGGTTATTGCCCGTTCCCCAGTCGCAGCGCTCTGCCCTCTCTAGCTTCCGCCCGTTTCCCAAATAATCACCTCCCTGGGCTGCGAGCGCGTGCCGTTCCCCGAAACCACCTGGCAATCAGCGGAAGCTTCGCAGAACTCCTTATGTTATTCCAATTAGAATATTTTCACACTACTGATTTTCCGTGGAAAATTGTGTTTTACGCATAGAATAATTTTTTTTTTGTCGTTAAATTATGTTGACTCGCAATAGCCGTGAATTCTCCGCATTGGAGTAGAATTTAATGGCGCGTCTTTCATGCCTTCGTGATTCTCGGGAGGGAAAATCCATTTCGCTGTCTCTCGCGCGCCGCCATTCGGCGTGTTGTGTTGGGATTTCCACGGCAATTGGCGAGCGCGGAGAGCAAACAAAGCTTCTTCTTCCCACGTTGATCCCCCGCAACGATGCGACACAAGCCTCCACTTTTCCGCCCAATTGATTGCGAGCAAATTGTGTGTGGCATTTTCCTAGGGAGGCCAGGAAGATCACAAGCGCGGCGCTTTGCGTGTGACAAATTCAGCCCATCCTCCTGGTCGCTATTAATAGATCCACAACTCTCAATATGCGATCGATAAAGCGCGATCCTCGCGCGCTTTCGGCCACAAAAGCTCTCTTTTTTTTGTCCACCTGACAATATTCCATGGTCTGCTGGGATCGTGATAGGTTTTTGCCGAGATGTTATTTCACGTTTATGGAGAGGAAAAACTCTCGTTGGAATTCGACTAAAGCACATGTTGAGCGAGCGATGCTTTTGAGATGAAATGCCGAATTTGTGATTCATGCGCGGATTTCTCACGAAGCGGAGGAGTTCAAGGGAAAAGTGCTCTACGTGAGTCTTCCTTATCGGACGCGTGTTGTGTGTTGGTTTTGTGTGATAAGTTTGATGAACCGCGAGAATAGAAGGAACTCCGTGGTTTTTTTTGTTTTTACTTCAAAAGTCTTCTGAATGGCCGGAAAATGTGTATTTATTCTATCTTCAAACTATCTAAAATTTATTAAGTTTTTCTGGGTCAAAAATTCTTATCTTCTTGGCTTTTATCGCTTTGATTGAATCTCTAGACGTGATTATCACGCCAATAAAGTGTATTTTGCCTATTTTGCCTCTAAAGACTATATTTCAATGTGGCCACGGTGGCCCGAAAGTGCTTTCTAGTGTTGAATTCTAGCAAAATCTGTTGTTCTTCTCATCAAATTGTTATCAAAGAAAAAACCTTTGCTTGCGCTATTTAGCACTGCGTGAAGTTTATGATAACAGATATTCTCAATCAATATCAACTCAGGTTGTTAATGACATTCGCCCTTCGAATCACAAACTATCAGAGATATCCTAATAATTGAAATGACAGCAACTGTGCCAACATCGCACTGAGCAAAGCGGTGAAAGAGAGTCATTTTGTCTTCGGATATGCTCCAATTTCCGCGCCCAGCAGCGAATAAAGGGCCCCAATTTGTGCCCTGCTCTTCTATTTCACGGCTGACTTTATTGACTTCATAAACTACTGAAACACACACACTGTTGTAAGTGTGTTTGTGTGTGTTTTTCCGTTGAATTCCTGTGTGCGGAAAATACTCTAGATTAGCATCTCGTGAAATATCACAAGCACGATTTCATCTCTTGCCAATTTATATATATATTATATTAGACAAAAAACTAGCGATGAAATTGTGCATCCATTTCAAGAAGAAACTCTTGCGGTCTGTGTTGCTTCTACAGTCGCGGAGAATTGGAGGAGGGAAAGCCACACAATTGTTTGTGGCGGTGTAATTAAATGGGCGATGCGAGAGATGATGAGAGAGGAAATATGCCAAGGACGCAGTGTTGTGTCAATTTTTACAGTCCATGGAGAAAAATGCCATTTTGTAGAGTTAATAAAGAGTCTCTTTTGTTCTGTTTGGCAGGAAGGAGAGCCCGTCCGGCGGCGCCGACCGGCAGTTCCAGTGCCACATCGCGGAATCTGCTGGAGGAATACTGTGCCAGTCCGAAGAGGAAGGACTACAAGCTGGATCCGCTGAGTATTCATCATGCGCATGAGAATGGGACGGAAAAGATGCCGGGAATTGAGACAAAATTCAAGACTCAGATGGTGTTGAGGCCATCGTCGAAGAGGAATGTGAGGAACATTGAGATCACGCGGTATTTTCCGGTTCAGACGACACAGCGGGCAGACGTGAGGGCAAATGGGGCCTTTGAGACCATTCAATTGGTGGATGATGACACATGTGACTCCTTTCCGGATCGATCGACGATGACACAGGAGCCAGAGGTGGAGGAGGAATCGAATATTTTCCTCCAGAAGCCTGTGTTGAAGCTCAATGTGGACAAATCACCCAATCAGGCGTCCTCGATTGTCATCAAGAAGAGTCTGGAGGTGAAGTCGGACTTTGCCAGTTTGACAAGCAATGGCTTTGTCAGCTTCAATGCTGTCACGCCGACGAAAGTGAAGGAGAATGGCATTAGTGCGGATGTGCTGAAGCCCGTGTCACCTGTGCTGTTGGCGTGTTCTGACAGCAATTCCTGCGACAGCGGCGTGGTGTCGGATCGCAGTCATGACACGACGCCGGGCGCTCGGCTGCGCCACCACAAGAAGCCCACGACGCCCCATCGGATTGTGTGTCCGTCGCCGAAGAAGAGTGACGCGGAGAATGTGATTGACGTGGAGAATAATTCCGCGGAGGTGCGAGAGGATGGCCAGCGGCGAGAGCCTGCTGAGGTGGTGACAGAAGCGCCTGATTGTCAGGAGACAGTTGCGGTGCCGCGCGATGTCTTCTCAGCACCGCCGGCTGGCGCCAGGACGAAGAGTGGCGGCACCACGAAGAAGCTGACCAATGGCACTGCCCAGAAGAGCATTAAGGAGTTCTACAAGGTGCGCCGCAGTGCGCGCAAGACGAAGAAGGAGGTGCAGAAGGAGGAGCAGCGCGCCATCGAGCAGGCCGTGGCTGAGGGACGCGAGCGCGGGCTGGCGGTGAAGCTGTTCAAGGAGAAGGGACGCGGCGTGATAGCCACGCAGGCGTTCGGCAAGGGGGACTTCGTCGTGGAGTACATTGGTGACTTGATCTCGAACTGCGAGGCCGGCAAGAGGGAGCAGATCTACGCCGAGGATCACAACGCCGGCTGCTACATGTATTACTTCAAGCACAAGAATGTTCAGTACTGGTGAGTTTTATCCTTCTATAATGTCTCTTTATTGGGGAAGTTTGTCCAGATATGTCTGCAGAAGACTGTTGTGCTCCCGGGAAAGCTCAAGGGATTCCCTCATGAGAGCCGAAACGCTCTCATTGAACTCATGAGTCAATTGATTGGATTTCCTGAATTCCGCCAGTAATTCCTCATCGATAGACGTGAATTGTCTGTTCGTGTCTCTCTGGGGAGGATCTGGCGGAAGTGCTGGAGCGACAGGAACTGATGTAATTGATTGAACAGTGTGTTCAGATGAGCAAGAATCTTCTGCGCCTTCAGACATGCTGATCTCTTCGTCTTTGATTGATGAAGTCAAGCTTGGACTCTTCTTGAGAGGATACTTTGGTGTGAAATTCTCAAATTGATGCATCCTTGCGTACAAATTCCACTTAGAATTGTGACTGTACCATTCATTTTCCTGCCTGCAAATTTAATTTATTTAATTGTTTAGAAAAATTAAAAATTCCCTCCGACGCCACTGGGAAACAAGTGCGCGCACTGTCAAAACATAAAGCTTACCTGTATCTCTTCCGGAGGTTCTTCATCTTCGATTTGATCTCAGACACAGTCTTTCGCACTCCGTGGCGTGCCAATGTTGCGCGGAATTTGTCATAGATCTGCTTGTGAACTCTTTTTCGTCGAAATATAGGCTTGAAATCCGTCCAGATATCGATAAAAGTCTCATTAGCGGCATCGTTCCATTCGGTTCTCCTCCTGGCGTCACTCATCTTGTCACACTACTGCGTGTGATAGTCACAAGGGTGCGCTGTGGGTCGCCATTCGGGGCGACTTCGTGCAAACGAAGCGCTTGAGCGATGATTCTCGCGCGCTCATCCGTCTCTGACCCATAATCCACGAATGAATCTAAAGAGTGTGTATGTGAGCGGCATTTTGCACAGGGTGGTGCTGAAGTAATGTAACTCTCTCTCTCTCTTTATCTCTTTTGCAGTATCGATGCCACGAAGGAGACGGGAAAGATGGGACGTCTGGTGAATCACTCGCGCAATGGGAATCTGATGACGAAGATTGTGGACTACAAGGGAAGACCGCACTTAGTGCTACTGGCCAAAGAGGACATCGAGCCGGGGAAGGAGCTGACGTACGACTACGGCGATCGCTCCAAGGAGTCGCTGCTGCATCACCCTTGGCTGGCATTTTGAGTGACTGAGGAGAGAAGAAGTCCTTCCCGCCTTTCTCCGGCGCATCTCCTTCCTCTCCACCTCAGCAGAGAGAGAGAGACAGTTCAGCGAAGAAACTTAATATTTAACATCTCTCACCCTTATTTATTCCTCATGCGAGAGAGAAAAACCGCCCTTTTTGCCTTGAGTCAGCGCGCGTCGAGGCTCTTGTTTTCCCTTTCTTAGGCGTAGTTGCAGAGACAGAAAGAAAATGTGTTCTTAACGTTTTTCTCTTACTCTTAATTTCGCTACATATTTTACAAATTATTTAGGTAAAAAGAAAAGAAAGAAAATACAGATATAATTCTCTCCTTATATTTTCTTTTAGATAATGTCACGCTTTCGTTGCTCGAGTTTTTAAGTGTGTTTGAGGTTGATGCAGAAGATTAAAATGTTGATAGAAATTATAGAAGAGGAATTTTCTGCAAGAAGAAAACTGAGAAGAAAACTATTCTAGTTTGTTTTATAAATTTGAAATTTCACAGAGACAAATTATGTGCAAAATTTCACAACCGGCAAGACTGTCGCCAAAACATTGGTTTCCACAACATGTTAATGTTTTAATTTTTTTGAAAGATAGAGATAAAGCGATAAAAATCACTTAGTTTTGAGTAGTGTCACACTTTAGTAGACTTTGTAGAATATATATATATAGTTAAATAACTAAACAAAAAGGACATTTTATGATTTTATGCACGAAAATGCAAAAACTAATGTGTATAAATGAAAGCAAGAACAAGTATGAACATACTTAAGATTATATGACTAAAGTCAAAAATTCATCTCAGAACATTTTTCAATCAATTACTAGTATTAAAAGATGTAGAAATGTTTTGTAATAAGCATTAAAGAGATGAGGTGAATCGCGCTTCAAATTTGAGTTTAATTTCCGCGCCCAGACTTGTCCTTCGACATTCCTTAATTTTCGTCTCTTTTGGGATAAAAGTTTCCGGATAGAGTTGGAATTCGCGTGCCCACCGCACGATGTCTCTTGAGGCGCGGTGACGGCAAGTGTGATTGTCAAAAAATAGCAAAATGGCGGCGTCGAGACGGCTGCAAAAGGTAAAAAAAGTGGGCAAAATCAGTGAAAAGTTCTAGTAAAATACTGAGAAACACGCTCGGGACTTGCCAGTGACTTGCCCCCGTGGGGCTCACATGGTGGCTTCGCGAGAGTCCTCTGGGCTGTGGCAATTAATTAGCATTTGACGTAATTTGAGGTTATGTGTCACTTCACTGGATTTCTCAATTTTCTCTGTGTGGGGAAAAATGTCTCGCATAATTGAGTTTCTAATTTATTCAGCATTGGGAGGTCTTCCTCTGCTGCCACTTCCACTTGCCCCACAATCCCACTGAGCCATTTTCAATGTGTCATTGCAGGAATTATCAGATTTGAGAGCGTCCGGACTGAAATCCTTCAGAGACATCGTCGTGGATGACACAAATATCCTCGCGTGGACAGGATTAATTGTTCCGGTGAGTGGATTGACTTTTGCGGGTGTGTGATCTGGGATTAATTGATTCGGTTATTGCAGGATAATCCACCATACAATAAAGGTGCCTTCAAGATTGAGATCAACTTCCCGGCAGAATACCCGTTCAAACCACCAAAAATCAGCTTTAAGACCAGAATCTATCATCCCAACATCGATGAGAAGGGTCAGGTGTGTTTGCCGATAATCAGTGCGGAGAACTGGAAGCCAGCCACGAAAACTGATCAAGGTAGAGAACTTTGTGCGCTGATAACAATCGCGCACACCGCTTTAAGCTGGTTTTCTTTTACAACCAAACCTTGTGTCTTGTCTGTGTCTCTTGCAGTGATTCAGGCTCTAATCGCCCTGGTGAATGATCCAGAGCCTGAGCATCCGCTGCGGGCGGATTTGGCTGGCGAGTATTTGAATGATCGGAAGAAGTTCATGAAGAATGCCGAGGAGTTTACGCGGAAAAATAGTGAGAAACGACCAACGGATTAAGAAGAAGGGGGGAAAATGGCAAAGCAGAGTCACACCAATCCTCATGAAAAAAAACTCCTCCTCTTTTCTCCCTTCTCCGCGACATTTACACTCTTGTCCTTCCGCATTTTCTCTCCAGGAAAATCACACAGAGAACCTCTTATTAATTTATATACAAATGATTCTTCGTAATGAAAAAAAGGCTTGATTTGCGTGAGTGTGAGTGGAGATGAAATCACACAGGGAGATGCGATAAGCGAAAAAGTTTTTCTTTTGCTCTTCGTTTCTGAGTCAGATGATGAGAAAATGAATATTTTTGAATTCAAAAGTATATTTTATAGATGAAGGCAAAGAGATGGTATAATTGTACACAGTTGTAGAATAAACTAATTAAATGATGATGATATAAGGTCGAAGGCGGTGGACAAAGAAGCTCTGAGAATTTTAGTGAAAATATGGGTGACGAAAAAAAAATTATCTAATTATTGCATTATTGAATTATAAACTAAAAGAAATTAACGTGATTCTTTTCGATCATCGCGAGAGATGATGGCCTCCGGCCGCGCCAAATGACCTCCCAAAGAGGCGGTCGGGGGCCGTGCGTGCGTACGCGGCATCCAAAAATGCATTTATATATTAGCGAGCGAAGAAAAAATTTTTTGATGATAAAAGCTGTACTAAAAAGACTACAAAGTCCAAAATTTCTCATTTATTCATGGCAAATGCATCGTGTTTGGCTCTATTATTTAATGAAAAATCATCTCTCAATAAATTAGTTGAACAATTTCAGTCCAAATTATTCCCTTTTTCAACCATCAAAGTGCGGAGTTTTCCGACAAAAGTTTCGTGAAATGCGGAAATTTCTTTGGGATGGCTTCTCTGGCAACCCTCTTTGGCGGGACTTCAAACGCCAACGGGTGACATAACCTCAATTGTGATTTTGGCGGCGAATTAGCGGTATTGCATTGTAAATCGCAGGATATACCGCAATTGTGATGCACTTTGTCTGTGATTGGAGTGGAGTGGAAAATGGACTCTGGTCAGAAGCGTCTGAAAGTAGCCAAGGAGAGCGACGAAGTGTCGCTGGATTTCAGCAATTGGCTGTGGGACGAGTGGGATTATGAGGAGCCAAACGAGGCGAACAAGGAGAACATCTCCGTGAACACGGGGACGAACAATATTGAGCCTCCGGCGAGGTCACATCATCGAGACAGGACGTTCGATCTGACACGCTGGAGGCGCTGCGAGGTGAAGTCCGTCACGAGGCTGGACAGAGAGGTGAGACTGAGCCTGATGGAGGACGATGTGCCGCCGGAGAGGGCGCAGACCGGACAGCTGATCCTGCACGACATGTGGGTCCACACGGAAGTCAATCCTCGTGAGTGTGTGTGTCTGTCCGCCGCTGGGGCGCGTCTTCTGAGTCTCTGTCTCTGTTTTGCAGTGGATGTGGTGTCCGTGAAGGCTGTGTGGAGCGAGGAGCTGCAGTGCCATATCATAACCATGACTGAGGGGCTTCTGGTGGTGAATCCGAATGTGCTGGTCTCGGGAACCACTCTCCTGGGATCGCTCTTCTGTTCCCGCCGGGGAATTCTTAGTGAATACTTCAAGACGCTTGTTTTAACACCTGAAATTGTGAGTTCCCGCCTAAAGCCGCGTGCCACTTGGCAATCGAGAGTACAATTCCGCGTCTCTTGCAGATGACTGTGGGTTCTCTGGTGCATGAGCTGCTCCAGATGTGCCTTGAGAGGAACCTGAAGACCCACGATGAGATCCAGTGGGCGTCCCAAGAGCTGTTGCAGCAGCGAGGAACCTTCTTCCAGATCTACTCATCCACGTTGGCGGAATATCAGGCGCAGGGAGAAATCACGCCGTTCATACCAAAGATTGAGGACTTTTTCCGATGCTATCTGCCCAATAGTCATCAGGGACGGCATCAGGGACACTGGTTCCTCAAGTGGGGCAACTTTGAGGGCAGCATTGCCAGCGTGGAGGACATTGAGGAGAACATCTGGATGCCACAACTGGGCCTCAAGGGAAAGGTGGACGTGACGGCGAGGGTGCGAAAGAGAACAGCTGACGGCGGTGAGATCGTCAAAATCATGCCGGTGGAGGTGAAAACTGGCCGGGCGAGCTTCTCAGCTGAACACCGTGGCCAATTGACCCTCTACCAGATGATGATGTCTGAACTCCTGGGCGGCATCGATTCCGGACTGCTGCTGTACTTGCGCGAGGGTGTGTTCAAGGAGATGCAGCCCTCGTGGAATGAGATGCGCGATCTGATCATGATGAGGAATAAGTATGTGAGCTTTCTGGCGTGCGAGAAGATTTACCTGGACGAGGGAGAGGCGGAATTTAAGCTGCCAGAACCGATAAATCATCCCACGGGGTGTTTATCGTGTCCCATGAAGACAATCTGTGGCAGTTTCTTGCTGAGATCCGAGCAGAGGAGTCTCGTGACGCCTGACCATCACTTCCATCGGACTCTCATTTCCTCCACGGAGCATTTGAGTGAGAAACACGTTGACTACTTCATCGATTGGGTGCACATTGTGCTGTATGAGGAGTTCCATGAGCACGAGAATTTTGGACAGGAGAGAATTTGGCTGAGAACACCAGAAGTGCGGGAAAGTGAAGTAAGTCACGTTCAGGAGCTCTGAGATCCTTGATTTTATCACTGTCTGATATGTTTCCTTTCGCAGGGATTCACACTGGCGTACTTGATGATCACAAATCCGCCTACACTTCAGTCGGGGCGCTACTTGACGGACTTCCATGTGGACAAATCGAAGCCGAGAGGCGACAAGAGGGATTGTCTGACGGCGGGTTTCTCTGTGGGTGATTATCTGGTCGTGAGCACGTCTAAGAGAATCGCCGTGGCCACTGGGATTGTCCAGACGATAGATTGTGAGCACATTTGCCTGTCGCTCGAGAGGAATCTCATGATTCAGTACAGCTTGGAGAACTTCCACATTGATCGATACATCAGCAACACACAGCTGACCTTCAATCTCACCAATCTGGGCGCGATGCTGGAGAACACGGAGCGAAGCAACAAGTTGAGGCGGTTGATTGTGGACAAAGTGATGCCGCGGAATGAATCGTGCCCGAAGGATGCGAATGAGGATCACGTGGCGCTGCGGAATCTCAATAGTGACCAAGTGTCTGCCGTCATCAAGAGTGTCCAGATGGTTGAGTACATGCTGCTGCAGGGATTTCCGGGCACGGGCAAGACACAGACGATCGTCGCTCTTGTGCGCTATTACATCAGCAAGGGCATGTCTGTCCTCATCACCAGTCACACGAATGCTGCCGTGAATAATCTCCTGGAGCGATTGCTGCCGCACAATCTGAACTTTATGCGCTTGGGCTCTGTGGGTCGCATCTCGCCGGCCCTCCAGGAGCACACAGAATCCCACCTGACGCGCCATTGCACCACTTATCATCAGCTGCAGAGAGTCTACGATGACTGTCCAATCGTGGGCGTCACTTGCATGGGCTGCACTCATCCCATGCTGATCAGGAGGGTGTTTGACATCTGCATCGTGGATGAGGCGACTCAGGTCTTCCAGCCCACCATCCTGAGGCCTCTTATGGCCGCCAAGAAGTTCCTACTCGTCGGCGATCCACATCAACTGCCGCCGCTCATGAAGTCTGAACAGGCAATCGAGCTGGGCGGCGGAGAGAGTCTCTTCAGGCGCCTCCAGACCAAACACACCGTCGCCACACTCAGGTTAGTGGCTGTAAAAATCTAGATGATTTTCTTAAACGTTTACATTCTTTCATGCTCTCTTGCAGGAAGCAATATCGCATGAATCAAACCATCACGGATGTCGCCAATAAGATTTCGTACAAAGGATTTCTGACATGCGCCAATGAAACTGTGGCCAACAATGTCCTCCAATACAATCCGGCTGTGGACTTCAGTGAGGAGAAGAGCCCCTTTCCGTGGCTGTACAGAGTGCTGCGCAGCGACCTGGAGTACTCTTTCGTCTACATTGACACCGGAGACACAGCTCGTCTGCATGCGGAATTCACGGAGCAGATGAACATCAGCTCGGGCAGCAAAGTGGAGTCCGACTTCCTGCTGGATTCGCCGCATCACGTGGGGGAGAATGTGTGCGAGGCTGCTCTGTGTCTGTACGTCGTGAGAGCATTGCTGGAATTGGGCGTGAATGCTAAGGATATTGGGATTATCACGCCGTTCAGAGCTCAAGTGGCACTTCTGCAGCAACTCATGGCAAAGTACAATGAAATGTTCAGCCTTGGCTGTGACGGAGTCGAGGTGAACACGGTGGATCAGTACCAGGGAAGGGAGAAGAGTGTGATCATCTATTCGTGCGTGAGCAACTGCAACAAGAAGGGTCACGCGTGTGTCGTGGATAAGACAATCATGGGAAGCTCTGAACGCTTCGCTGTGGCTGTGACGCGAGCCAAGCAGAAGTGCATTGTGATGGGAAATTCCACTTCACTGGATTTCATTGAGCCCTTTGCCAAGTTGAAGCGTGGAATTACGCCGAAGAGCAACTTTAAACTCACCGACAAGACGTCAGGCTTTGACTGGCAAGTTGTGCAGAAGCATCTCCTCGACATTCACCGGAAGAATCCCGAAATTGTCAAGCAACGCATCTTCTAAAGATCCTCTGTGTGTTTCACTTTATTAAATGGCCTTGACTGTGCTCAAATCACGTTTCTCAATCGATCGCAGTTGCTTCTTGCGGATCCTCTTGAGCTTCGCTGGATTCTTGATGATCTGCACAATTTCAGACTTGCGCTGATTCTCCAACTTTCGCTTCTCATTTGCCTCCCGACGCTCCTTCAGCTGCTCCTTCTCCGCCTGCTTCTGCATCTTGATGGACTTTGACAGCTCCTTCACCTTCTGCATCTCCTCCCGGAATTGCTCCTTCTTCTGAAATGTCTGGCGGTGGAGGGATTTCTTGATGGTGGAGAATCTGATTGAGTGAGAAACATCTTATGAGAAGGTATTTTTTTGATATCTTGGGGAGAGTATTGTACTTTTGCTTCGGTGTCTTCCACACGCGACCACTCTTGGGAATGCCACGAGGAACTGTGTCTGTCATCTTCTTTCGCTTCTCAGACACCACATCATCCGAAGTGGAGTCTGGAGCATCAAAGGAACTGCCTGAAAAGTGTCCAGACGCAATTTGTGTGTTGAGAGAAAAACGTGCTCTTCAAGTGTTAATTCTCAGTGATTTACCAGTTTCTGTGTCCATTTTGTCGCCACTGTCCACCTCTGTTCGTTTCTTAGGCGCCTTCTTTGTCCTCCCCATGTCACTTTTCACGTGATAACACCCCGAAAAACTCCTGAAATCTGCTAATAGTTTGGAGAAAAACAGCCTCTGGTGTTTGCAAACAATGCGGAAAAGTGTGAGGTTAGGTGGCGCGGCCCCGCAAGCAACACGTCAAAATCGATAATGCAGCCAAGTTCAGAGTGAGTGTCGCAGAGGCGAATTGTCAGAATTCTGTGCTCCTCCAAATTTTTGCTGAAAATCCGTGGAAAACGCCCGAAAATCAGCACAAAAATACCACACAATGGCAACACAGAAGCCCGGGGAGTGGGCGAACTCGCTGCTGATGCGCTTCGAGGAGCAGGTGAGGTGGGAGAGAGCGTGGAAAAAGTGGCATTCTCGCTGGGACTCCTCCTTGGCGGCCCCAAGAGGAAAAAATCAATAATTTTCTGGGCCGCTGTCGGTGTGTGCGTGTGTGCGAGCGGGACGGGGCATTTGTTTTGATTTTGCGAGCAAATCACGTGGGCGGGTGCGAGAGTGAGACGGAGGGATGTGGCTGTGTGGGGCGCGCTGTGATTGGCGGAGAGACCGAAGGCGATGGATTATGAATGAAAAGCGAGAGTTTTATGAATGAAATGTGTGTGACATCGAGTGGGAAGGGCGTGTGAAGAGAGTCAATTGATATCATTTCTGCTCTGACTATCAATTCCACAGCTGCCCTATCGCATGATAGCGACAAACACCAATCAGATGGCTCAGTCGCGGATGACTCTGGACCAGACCATGGCCTACCTGATCCCCATTTCGCGCTACCGCTTCTCGCTGGTCATCTCGGGCCTCACGAAAATGCTGCAGCGCGTGAATGACACGTTCCAGAACCCACAGAATCGCCAAGAGCACACGGAGAAGTACTGCTACGACTCCCTCATCATCATCCTCACCACCATGGAGAGATGCCTCTCCAGCCAGACCAAAGACACTGCCCGCTACGACGAGGCGATGAATGTGAAGCTGCTGCTGCGCGAGATTTGCCAGTTCATCGATGTGCAGAGTGAGAACAATCCAAATGCCACGTCACTCAAGGCGCTCGCCTCGAAAGTCCTCTTCGCCCTGTCGCAGAATCACTTCAGTGCCGTCTTCAATCGCATCTCGGCGCGCCTGCAGGAGCTGAGCGCGTGTTCGGAGGAGAATCCGGACTACAGTGACATCGAGTTGATTCAGCACATTGATCTCGATGTCATTCGACTGACGAAACTCCTCACGGAGACACTGCTGAAGTTCCGACTGCTGAAGAAGTCCGCCCACCTGATTCTGCTGAACTCCCTGGAGAAGGCGATGTGGACGTGGATTGAATTCCATCCGCATGAGTTTGCCGATCTGCAGCGCACACCAAATGACGAGTTGTCCAAGTGTTGTGAGCAACTCTTTGACATTCTCGATCTCTATGCGGAGAACAAGAAGAGTCGCTCAGCTGTCTGGCCACTCCAAATCCTCCTGCTGATTCTCTGCCCGAAAGTCCTGGAGGAGATTGTCAATGCGGACTCTGGAGCGCCATGTTCGCAGTGTCATCTGAAGAAGAGGCACTTTGTGGAGGGAATTAAGAAGGGTTTGGGCTCTCATGCATCGTCCAAGCAATTGACAGAATCCGCCGCGATTGCGTGTGTGAAGCTCTGCAAGGCGTCAACTTACATCAACATCGCCGATTCCAACAATGTCACCTTTCAGCTCGTGCAGAATGTCATCAATGATCTCAAGGCGCTTCTCTTCAATCCCTCCAAGCCCTTCTCACGCGGCCAAGGATACAACTTCCAGGACATTGATCTCATGATTGACTGCTGGGTGTCGTGCTTCCGCATCAAGCCGCACAACAATGAGGCTTTGAAGGTTTGTCTCAGCCTCTCATCGCCGCCAGCATATCACTTTGTCATCGTCAGTTCGCTTCTCAAGTAAGGCGTGATGGGAATTTGTGGACAGAACTGAAATGTTGACTAATTTATGTCCCCCTTTGCAGGATTGTCACTCAGCCAAGACTGCCATGGTGGCCACAAATTGACTTAGTCTACGCCAGATCTGCAGAACTGAGAGCTCTCTTCACGGACACACTCAACAAAGCGACACAAGGATACATCGCACACACTCCTCTGCGGATGATCACGTCACTCACGCTGAAGTCCAAAGACGCACAGAGTCGATTGACGCGTCCGGAAGAGGGACCAGCGCACAAAGCTCTTCTTCTTCTCATGGTTCGCCTTATTCATGCTGATCCAATGCTTCTGCTGAATGTAAGAATACCTCAGAATGTCTCCGAAATGGTTTATTCACTCTCAGTGTCTTTGCAGAGTCTCGGCAAGGCTGGTCATGAGGTTCAGAGTTCGACATTGGAGTTGATTAATGGTCTTGTGAGTCTTGTTCATCAACCAACGATGCCAGATGTGGCACAAGAAGCCATGGAAGCATTGCTGGCTCTGCATTCACCGGATAAGATTGAAGTGTGGAATCCCGAGGCGCCAATTAACACTTTCTGGGATGTGAGCTCTCAGGTGCTCTTCTCGATTGGACAGAAGCTCATCCAGCACCAGATTGCCAACTATGGTGATGTGCTGAAGTGGATGAGGGAGATTCTCATCTGTCGCAACACATTTCTGCAGCGACACAAGGACTATGCGAATGTTGGCAGTCAAATTGCCATCTGTCGACATGCCAATATTAAGCTTGAAGTGGTGTTCTTCATGTATCTCTGGTCAATTGATCTGGACACCATCATCACATCGCTCTCCTGCTTTGGGTTGCTGTGCGAAGAGGCGGAGATTCGGTCGGGATCTGATGAACTCACCGTTCACATTATACTGCCAAATTATCAACTGTTCCAGGAACTCGCGGTGGCTTCCAGTGCTCTGACGACTGCGGGCACAGAGTCGAAGTTCTGCTTCTTTGATCCGACACAGGGCAGAGTGGCACTGCAGAAGCACATCTTCCACTTGCTGAGGAAGATTGAGCACTGCGCCAATGGCGTTCTGCCCGCGTGGGAGGAGACTTATCGCTGCTGGGAGATGCACAGCAAGGTGCTGCAGACGTATCCGAAGGGGAAGATGGAAGATGGACAGGCGGAGATGTTCCATCGAGGCATGGGAAAGCGCAGAGCGAGTCATCAGAGCACAGAGCATGACTTAGATGAGCAGATCACTGAGTGGGCCAACATGACTTGGGTGAGTTTCTTCTTTTTGGTACTTTGATGGACAATAAACTCTTTAACTTGTTTTCTTAATTGCAGTTCCTCTTGACTATCGGTGGTGTTTGTCTGAAGGCACGAAGTGAGAAGGAGAAGGAAAGTACGGAAATGTCTTGCTTAAACATTCAAATGCAGAAGCTCACGAGGGTCAGTAAGTCGACATCTCAAGTGCAAAGTGCTACTTCGATGGGTAAGAAGACAATCATCAAATCTTCTGAAGAAAAAGAGACAATCTAATTGAGAATCATTGCAGGATCTCTGGCACAGTCAAATTCATCTCTCTCGAGTTCCACAAGTTCTGGCAGAGGATCTCTTCATCCCACATCAACGGACAAATCGACATCGGCTTCAACTGCGGCGGCAGCGGCAGCTGCGGCAGCAGGAGGAAAGGATGATCCAGCGCAACAGCAGCAGCAACAGATAACGGAGAAGAAGAATGAATACTTCTGTCCTGTGACACAATTTATTGGTCAACTGTTGAGACTTCTTGTGTGCAACAATGAGAAGTTTGGCCAGCAAATTCAGAAACACGTGAAGGAATTGATTGGTCAGCAAATGTCTGCTCAACTGTATCCAATTCTCTTCGATCAGATTCGATCGATTGTGGAGAAGTTCTTTGATCAGCAAGGACAAGTGATTGTCACGGACATTAATACGCAATTCATTGAGCACAGCATCTACATCATGAAGAGTATTCTGGATGGGAAGCAGGCCAAGGAGCAAAATGATCAGCCCTCGACCAATGAGCATCTCTGTGTCACCAGCATCGAAGGCATGATGCTGGGAATTGTGCGCTATGTGCGACATTTGGACATGACAGTTCATGCGATTCACATCAAGACGAAATTGTGTCAGTTGGTTGAGGTGATGATGAAGCGAAGAGACGATCTGGCCTTTCGGCAGGAGATGAAGTTCCGCAATAAGCTCGTGGAGTATCTGACTGATTGGGTGATGGGAACATCTCATCAAATTGCCCCTCCCAGTTCGGGTGATGTCACGATAATCACACGAGATCTCGATCAGGCGTGCATGGAAGCTGTGGCTGCTCTGCTGCGTGGACTTCCGCTGCAGCCAGAAGAGTCTGATCGTGGTGACTTGATGGATGCCAAAAGTGCACTGTTTCTCAAGTACTTCACACTGTTTATGAATCTGTTGAGTGACTGTGTGGACACGGCGGAAGCTGACAAGGATCCAACAAATCCACCACTTCCGCCACGACCACGAATGGCGGCGGGAAAGTTGAGAACTCTCCGAAATGCCACAATTCAGGCCATGTCAAATCTCCTGAGTGCCAACATTGACTCTGGACTGATGCACTCCATTGACTTGGGATACAATCCGGATCTTCAGACGCGTGCCGCCTTCATGGAGGTGTTGACGCAAATTCTGCAGCAGGGAACGGAGTTTGACACTCTGGCTGAAACTGTGCTGGCAGATCGATTTGAACAGCTTGTGCAACTCGTCACGATGATCAGTGACAAGGGTGAATTGCCAATTGCTATGGCGTTGGCGAATGTCGTGACGACACTGCAGATGGATGAGTTGGCGAGGGTGCTTGTGACACTCTTTGACGCCAAGCATCTCCTCTCGCCACTGCTCTGGAATATGTTCTATCGCGAAGTGGAAGTGTCTGATTGCATGCAGACGCTGTTCAGGGGAAATTCCCTCGGCAGCAAGATTATGGCTTTTTGCTTCAAGATCTACGGCTCGAGTTATCTGCAGAGTTTGCTGGAGCCACTGATTAGACCGCTGCTGGAGGAGCACACGGTGAACTTTGAGGTGGATCCGGCGCGATTAGAGACTGGTGAGGATATTGAGTTGAATCGAAGGAATCTCATTGCGCTGACACAGAAAGTTTTCGATGCAATCATCGAGTCTGCAGACAGATTTCCACCACAGCTGCGCTCCATGTGTCACTGTTTGTATCAAGTTTTGAGTAAGAGATTCCCAAATGTGCTGCAGAACAACATTGGAGCCGTTGGCACAGTGATCTTCCTCAGGTTCATCAATCCGGCCATTGTGTCGCCACAGGAGTTGGGAATTGTTGGCAAACAAGTTCCGTCCACGGTGAAGAGAGGCTTGATGCTGATGTCGAAGATTCTGCAGAATATTGCCAATCATGTGGAGTTTTCCAAGGAGCAACATATGCTGTGCTTCAATGATTTCGTACGAGGACACTTTGAGACTGGTCGCAGATTCTTCATTCAAATCGCATCAGATTGCGAAACTGTGGATCAAACGTCACACAGCATGAGTTTCATATCTGATGCCAATGTCTTGGCACTGCACAGATTGCTGTGGACACACCAAGAGCGCATTGGTGACTATCTGTCCAGCAGCAGAGATCACAAGGCTGTTGGACGGAGACCATTTGACAAGATGGCAACGCTGTTGGCCTACTTGGGACCGCCGGAACACAAGCCAATTGACTCTCACTTGCTCTTCTCCTCCTACGCCCGGTGGAGTTCCATTGACATGTCCTCGACGAACTTCGAGGAGATCATGGTGAAGCATCAGATGCACGAGAAGGAGGAATTCAAGACGCTAAAGTCCATGAATATCTTCTATCAAGCGGGAACAAATAAGCACGGTGTGCCGATTTTCTACTACATCGCCAGGCGATACAAGATTGGCGAGACGAATGGTGATCTGCTGATCTATCATGTCATCCTCACGCTGAAGCCATTCTGTCATGCGGCCTTTGAGTTGGTCATTGACTTTACGCACACGTGTTCGGACAATCGCTTCCGCACGGAATTCCTGCAGAAGTGGTTCTATGTTCTGCCAGAAGTTGCCTATGAACATGTGCAGATGGTTTACATCTACAATTGCAATTCCTGGGTCAGAGAGTACACAAAGTTTCACGATAGAATTCTGGCCCCGCTGAAGGGGAATAAGAAGATGATGTTTCTGGATTCACCACAGAAATTGGCAGAATTTATTGAGGTGGAACAGCAAAAATTGCCTGGAGCCACACTGTCACTGGATGAGGATCTCAAAGTGTTCAACAATGCACTGAAATTGAGTCACAAAGACACCAAAGTGGCAATAAAAGTTGGACCAACAGCACTTCAGATCACATCGGCGGAGAAGACAAAAGTTCTGGCACATTCTGTCCTCCTCAATGATGTCTACTATGCTTCGGAGATTGAGGAGGTTTGTCTGGTGGATGACAATCAATTCACTCTCTCCATTGCCAATGAGAGTGGCCAATTAAGCTTCATTCACAATGATTGCGATAATATTGTTCAGGCGATCATTCACATTAGGAATCGCTGGGAACTCAGTCAGCCAGATTCAGTGACGGTGCATCAGAAGATCAGGCCAAAAGATGTTCCGGGAACTCTTCTCAATATGGCATTGCTGAATCTGGGCTCTTCGGATCCCAACCTCCGGACAGCAGCTTACAATCAATTGTGCGCATTAACGGCGACTTTTGACTTGAAGATCGAGGGTCAATTGTTGGAAACTCAGGGTCTCTGCATTCCCTCCAACAACACCATCTTCATCAAGTCCGTGAGTGAGAAATTGGCCAACAATGAGCCACACTTGACGCTGGAATTCCTGGAGGAGTGCATTCAAGGCTTCCAGAGGAGCACAATTGAGCTGAAGCATCTGTGTTTGGAGTACATGACGCCATGGTTGAAGAATCTCGTGAGATTCTGCAAGTCTTCTGATGAATCCAAGAAGCAAAAAGTGTCGCAGATCCTCGAGAAGTTGATCAATTTGACGATAGAACAGAAGGAGATGTATCCATCGATTCAGGCCAAGATTTGGGGATCAATTGGACAGATTCCTGAGCTGATTGACATGGTGTTGGACAATTTTATTCACAAGTCCGTGAGTTCTGGCTTGGGATCACCTCAAGTGGAGATCATGGCGGACACAGCTGTGGCTCTGGCGTCGGCAAATGTTCAATTGGTGGCGAAGAAAGTCATTGGGCGACTCTGTCGGGTGAGAAAAGACACAACAATATCTCAAGAAGAGATGAGAAAACTAATGATGACTGTTTTCTTTCAGGTAATGGACAAAACTTGCCACTCACCAACACAATTCCTCGAGCAGCACGTCATCTTCGATGATATCGCTATTTTGGCAAGATATCTTCTCATGCTGTCCTTCAACAATTGTCTGGATGTGGCTCGTCATCTGCCATATCTATTTCACACTGTAACATTCTTGGTGAGTCTCTCTGTGGCCTTTTTGTGTCTTCGCGTGTGATTGTGTGTAATTGAAATTCTCCGTGTTTTCAGGTTTGCACTGGTTCACTGTCAATGCGCGCTTCCACTCATGGTTTGGTCATCAACATCATTCATTCCCTGTGTACATGTACAAAGCCCTCATTCTCAGGTTCCGACTCTGTTTCTCTCTCTCTTCTTGCTGTCCTGATGACTAAAGATTTGCTTGTGTTTGTGCTTTGTCTTGCAGAGGAAACCCAGAGAGTGCTCCGATTGTCCTTGGATGAATTCTCCCTGCAGAAATTCTATCTTCTGTTCGGTATTAGCAAGGTGAAATCTGCCGCTGTGACGGCTTTTCGCTCCAGCTGTCGACATCCCAATGATCGTTGGCTGGGCAATGAGAGAGTGTCTCAGGCGCCGCCGTCAGACAGAGAGCGTCTGGGTTTGCCATCACTGGAAGTGATCACGGATGCTCTGCTGGAAATAATGGAGGCGTGCATGAGAGATATTCCAGATTGCGATTGGCTGCAAACATGGACATCTTTGGCGAAGAGTTTCGCCTTCTGCTACAATCCGGCTCTTCAGCCGAGGGCGCTGATTGTCTATGGGTGCATCAGCAAGAGTGTGACGGATCAGGATGTGAAGCAATTGCTGCGGATACTCGTGAAGGCACTGGAATCCTTCACTGACATCACACTCATTGAGGCTCTTGTGATGTGTCTCACACGATTGCAGCCACTCTTGCGTCCCGAATCGCCCATTCATCGTGCTCTCTTCTGGGTGGCTGTGTCTGTTCTGCAGTTGGACGAAATCACTCTCTATGGATCGGGATTGGCGCTGCTGGAGCAGAATCTGCACACACTCAATTCGCAGAATATGTTCGACAAGCAGAGTCTGGCGGAAGCTATGATGAGCACAAGAGAGCCTCTGGAGTGGCACTTTAAGCAACTGGATCACGCTGTTGGACTGTCGTTCAAGAGCAACTTCCACTTTGCTCTGGTTGGACATCTGCTCAAGGGTTTCCGCCATCCAACGCCCACCACAGTGTCGCGCACATCACGCGTGTTGACAATGCTGCTGGGCATCGTGGCGAAGCCACTGCGCAGGGATAAGTTCGAGGTGACGCCGGACAGTGTGGCGTACTTGACGGCTCTCGTGGCGGGATCTGAGGAGGTGCGATCGCGATGCCATGTGAAGCACACACTGTCCAGATGGCCTAATGAAGCGAATCCCAACGAAATCAGCGACACAACGAACATATCCACACAATCTGTGAGTTCTCTGTGGAATTCTTCTTATATTTTGGGCAGGATTTGCTTAGCTTACGCGCTTTCTCTTTTGCAGATGGGAATGCCACTATCGCGCCGCCAGAAGTCCTGGGATATCCTTGATCAATCTGCCATTTCCTATGCACGTCAGCACAAAATTCAACCACATCAGGTAATAAGAGTGTAGCGTGAATGATTTGAGGTTTTTTTTGAATGAATTCCCATATATTTAGAGAATTGACGGCGTAGAAGTGGAAATGCTGTAGGTTTTTGATATTTTGTACACAAATTCCTTACGAGAAAACCCCCTCAAGAGATGTCTTAACACTTGATGCGCAAAAATTCTGTGAGAATTTTACAATGTACAATTTTAGATGGATGAACACAAAATCCATGCATCCTTCATGTGATGAATTCACTGAAGAACAACATCTAATGTGTCGTGTAGAAGAAATTAGAGAGTGTTTCTTTCGATGTTAACAATTTTTCTTTATTTGATTATCAAAATTTCTTTGCTCTCTCTCTGAATAATCCTTCTAATTATTGACTATTTAATGAATTTTGAAATATTATTATGATTTTTAGATTAAGCACAATTTGTAATAATTGGTAGATTTTTGTTGGTGCACTTTCTCTTGAATAGCAATACAGGACAGTTTTCTTGTACTTCTCTTATCAATTGTATTGCTATTCCAGAGAGAGAGAGCGCGAGTGTGTAAAACGTATTTAAATAGGAGGTTTAGTCTGTTTTGAGCTGGGTTGAAAAGTATACTTTTTCTTCAATAGTTTGTCCAGTAGTTTTGTGACGGTGGAAAGAAGTGTGTTGATGGTGAGAAAAAGGGTGAATCTGTTTGGTTTTTTGAGAGTTTGCGTGTGAGTGAAGAAAGTTATCAAAAAGTATAAGAAGTGAAAATATATGCACACCTTACGTTATATATAGGATCCACCGATCAGGGGCAAATCGTGGCGGAGCCTAGATTTGAGTCATGGCCAGACCATGAGCAGCCAGTTAGCCAATATGTCAAATTCCACTCTAATCACCACCGCCGCCACCAGTGCAGCCACCTCGCCGAACCCCATCGGTGGCGGTGTCCACTTTAGCGTGCCGGCCGTGTCGGCGCCCCCGGTGGCGCACACCGCCGCCGTGCACGCGCACAATTGCCAGCGCCAAGACTTTAGAAACCGTAGATCATCGTCCGAACCCGTGCACAATGCCATCGTGGCACTTGCCAATGCCGAAGACACAGTTCAGGCGACATCGTCGAAAAATAGTAGTGGCTTTATCGATTGCCTACAAAATATCTCACCGATTAAAGTAAGACTATTGCTTCATAAAAAAAACATCACAGATTTAACACACACACACAAACACTCTTTCTCTCTGTTCCTCAAGATTACTGTGAAGACACATTTTTTATCTTCCTAACATTATTTGCAGAAGAAGATTGAGGAATTGCAAATCCTCACAACTTTTATTCACACACAAATTTCCTTTTCTCTTTAAAAAAAAAAAAAAAAAGACACATTGAGATTTTCCTTGGAGATTTGTGTAAATTTTGTGTTCTCTTTGAAGCTTGATTTTGTGCATTTTTACTCTCACACTCTCTCTCTCTCTAAAATTGTCTCGTGTGCAAATTTTCGCAAATCTTCCAGAAAGTCTCTCACTTTAATTGGCATTGAGATATATAATTGCGTGATATCTTATCTAATTTTCCTCTCTATATATACATTTATATTACAATCAAACACTTTCTTTTCTTGGCGCTACATCTCGTTAAAAGTATATACTCGCTTCATATAAGAAAAACAAACTTGTTCCAGCAAGCATAAAAAGAAGGATGAAATCTTTGTTCTTTCACTCACATTCTCTGTCTCGAAGTCTATGTGAAGTTTTTTCTCACTTTGATTGCGAAAAAGGGTTTTTGTTCCATAAATATTACCAGTATTTGATGTGGTGTTTTCTTTATTTCTCCATCAAAAAGACAGGCGCAATTTTTAATAAATCACTCTCTAAAACAAATACTTACAGATTGAGAGTGATTTCTCACAGAACTTCTCATTTACCATTCTGTCTTTCTCTCTCTCACGCTCTCTGTCTCTCTTCCATTGTCCGTAATCGTTGAGCTAATCTAATTCTGCTGTTGAGAATTAGAATTCACGTGCAACTGATCAGTGAATGATCAGTGAAAATGTGGTGATTGAGAATCAATTGGATGAGAAAAAGACGAAAAACATATAAGAAGACATCGGCAAAACACATAGTGATCAATTGGATGGACATTAAGTCGCTAAATTCTCTCATTTAGGATCTCATAAGTCGAAAGACTGAAGCTTTAAGTGAGCCTTAATGCATTTAGAGTTGGAATCTTTACTGTTGCGTCCATTCTGTGTCTCTCTGTCTCTCTCTCTCTCTAGCCTAGATTCAATAGATTGCGATGTTTTTGCGAATTCTAATGTTAATGTGTGTACTGTTGCTGCGTCGCCTCGAGGGTGGGAAAATGCCTCGATGGACGTCTTTTATGGGTTGAATAGTTGTGTGAGAAATTAATGCAATTTAACTCTAAAATCTAAAACTCTGAATGACAAATTGGCGAAATGAAGAATTGCATTAATTCACAGTGAGTTTCTCTCTTCTAGATTTAAATTAGATTGAAAGAGATTCTATGTGGTAATTTCTGTCCTTTATATTCAAATGACTTTTAACTAATTTAGACATTTATTTCTTTTATTTTCTTGTTGCCTGCCTGATGCTTACAAAAATGTTGTACTGTCTCTGGATCTCATCATCCACAAAATTAAAAATAATATATAAAACTCTTCATCGACACGTCAAAATTCAATGTTGCTCAAAATTTTGTCGGATAAAATCAATCACCGCGTGAAATATTCATGTTAAATGTGTAAATGTTCTTTATTCTTATTGTGCAACACTCAATGAATTGCCGAAACACCACAAAACTTGTTATTATCACAAAAACAATTACCTCTGATTTCTTCTCAAAAAAAAATTTGTTTTTAAATAATTGGCATTTTTGCATGATGATTGTAATTTTTCGGAAACTTCTTTTATCATAAAATTGATTGGAAAAAATGTCTTGTGAAATTGATTGATGCAAAATTTATTTATTTTTCACTTTTTCTGAATTGGCACTATTTTTCCATGGTTTGATGGTTGATTTATAAATAATTTATTGGCAATGACACGAATTATGATCAACAATAACTACAAATGAAAAAAAAAAAATTGGTAATCTTTGGAATTGACATGCAATTAGAATGCTAGAGTGTTGTTTAAAACGCAGAGATCCTTTTCTGTGCCGACAACTAAAGATGCAAATAGTTCGGCAGGAATTGATGAACATCAGGTATTATCAATGAACCAGAAAATGAACCACAATCCAATGTAGTTTCTGTGTCACCTCTTAATCGCAATTGTTGTTTCTATCGCACTCTCTCATCGTCACTCCTTCTCTCGCATTCTTCTCCTTTATCTGCTCAGGAATGACGTTCAGGAGCTGGGATTTGCGTAGCCTGTGATTATCTTGGCAATTTTGCCATGTATTTCGACACTTATCGATACGAATTGCGTGCAATTCCAAAAAAAAAGTTTAAATCCACAGTCTAAGGACTAAGTAGTCCATATTACTTCACATCAGTTCTATTTTTCCCTAAAAAATGTGTTTAAAAAAGGAATTTTGATGCCCATCGCATCGATAAGTGTCGGTAATTGTCGATAACTTCAATCACTTTACCGCAAAAAAGCAAGTACAAGTAAAAATATTTCTTGAATTTTTTGAAATAAATCAAAATCAACAAAATTGTCTGATTTTAATGATTTTGAGTTCCCATTAGAAAGTTCTTGCAAAATGCTATAATTTTATTTAAAGTCAAAAATGGTGTTCCAAAGTTGTTGATGTTAATTTTTGTTGGTATTTCAGTAGTAAATTGTAATTAAATCCCAGCTCTACATTTTTTCATTGTCACTTCTTCTGTTCTTATGTCTGTCGGTAAAAATCATCTCCCTTTTTTCTTTGATTCACTCTTCTCATGTTCTTGTGTACTGTCTCTCTCTCTCTCTCAATTGGTATGAGCGATCCCAATATTTTCTGCATTCAAAATTTTTGGAGTAAATCTTCCTGTCCCCAAAATTCGATTGTTATATGAAATTCGCCACATTTTTTCACCATTTTTATCCTCTTGCTTGTAGGTGGAGATGATTGGGTGGCAAGTGATCGATGTGATTGCGCTAATGTGTTTTTGTGTGGTGCATTTTTCTAGGAGCGCGGATCGCGATCTTCCGTGTCGAATGAATCAAATGTCCTCCTGGATCCAGAAGTTCTTCCCGATCTCTCAACTCAGGCACTCGTGCTCACCGTTTTGGCCACGCTCGTCAAGTATTCCACCGATGAGGCCGAAACGAGGGTGCTTTATCAGTATTTGGCGGAGGGATCAGTTGTCTTTCCCAAAGTCTTTCCAGTCATGTGAGTATTATATTTGGCAATTGCAGATCTTTTGCAAATTTTGGACTGTTTCGCAGACATTCTCTCCTCGATCACAAGATCAACAGCGTCCTGTCGGGCTCTAGTGATCAGGTGGTGTTGATGGCTGTCCAGAGCATTATCCAAAACATGCTGGCCACTGAGGATCCATCACAGCAGCAGCTTCACTTCCTCCAGAGCTGTGGCTTTGGCGGTTTGTGGCGCTTCGCAGGACCTTTTACCAAAGTATCATCTTCATCTGTGTTATTGTGTTATGGTCTTTACTGAATCCTTTCCCACTCCTTTTGCAGTACACAATGATGGGAGAGTCTTCGGAGCTGTTTGTCAACTGCTTGGAGGCCATGGTGGAGACTTGTCTGCCCGTCGAGGAGACCACGCCGACCATCCCACCGCCTCGTCCATACAATCTCAGCTCAAGTTTGAGCAGCTTGACTCTGGGATCGCCCACGGACAAGGGTAAACTGCTCTTCGCCACTCCACGTTGACTCTATTCACATCTTCTGTCCTTTCAGCCTTCAATCTCAAGGCTTTCTCCTCGGAATCCCTGGACAATGATGGCTTTGCGGGCAGCGTGAGTTCCCTCAGGAGAGCGTCTTGCAGCAAAGCGCGCTCGGCAAAGCATCGACTGGCCGAAAGTCCGCCACATGGATTGGGCTAGAGATCGTAGAGATGTTTCTTGTTTTACTTACCGCGTATGTGGAGACGATTGATGTGATAAATGGATTTGAATGTGGAAGGGAATTGAACGTCCTAAGAAAATCAGGGAGAAGAGAAGGATACTGTTTTGACTTTATTATTTTTAGAGAGAGAGAGAATATCACTTACAAGTTCTGTTTCTATAATCTCTATTGATAGAAAAATATGTAGGCAAAAAGAAGCAGCGATTCTAGTACATTATTATAGATGTAATAATTGTGATTATGTATTTAATGAAAGGAAGTGAGAGGGATAGAGAGAGAGATTTATTGGGGAGTTTATTTAAGAAATGCAGAGATAAAAGCTTCATATACACATCAAATTTTATTAAGTGTGACTTTGTGGAAAATCATTAACAATTTGTTATTTGTTGTGTTTTTCTGTAAACATGTTTCACTGTATCATCTGTGACATCTCTTTGCATAGGTCCTTGAGAGTCTCTATATGAGGAATATTGAATAAAATTTATGGAAGTATTAAAATTTCGGAGTTTTGCAACTGTCGCAGTGTTATAACAGTTCTTGCAGTTTGAATTTCCCCCAAACAGTTGCCAGCGCCACTGCCAGACGGCGGCGAGCAGTGTCGTTGCGGTGTGTCAAATTTGCTGTGGAGAAAATTTTGCTGCGGAGTACTTTATTGTATTTTTGAGGCATTTCCGGGTGACGGAGAGTGGATACAGTGGACGAGATGGACAACAACAGCAACCACCCACCGGTGAGGGGTGGTTTTCGCGGCCGGGGGCCGTACAGAGGCTTCGATATGCGCGGCCGGTGAGTATCTCATGTCATGGCTCCCATCTTGGCGTCTGTCTAATCGGTGGCGTCTCTTTTTCTCCGCTCCGCAGTGGCCGGGGGCGCGGTATGGGACGCGGCGGGCCAATGGGCGGCCGCGGGATGCCGCCCATGATGCGAGGACGGGGCTTTATGCGAGGTCCACGCGGAATGGGGCTCGGGCCGCGCGGAATGGGCCCACCAAGGTCATCGCGTGGCATGGGCAGGAGTCAGGGCCCCGGCGGACCTCCAGGTACGAACGACGAGGACGCGGCGCCCAGGTGTCTCACCACGGTTTCGACCTTTGCAGGCTCGAACAATACGGCGGCGCCCGAGGATGGCTCACCCATCCAGACCACCACGTCCGCCGGCTCCGCGCGGGGCGGCTTCCCGCGGGGCCGTTTTATGCGCGGTCGTGGCTCTTTCGGCGGCCCCGGGGCCCCCAACAACACCACAATTCCCGGCACGGGACCCGATCCCAAGCCCTTCAACCGCTCAGACGGCGGTAAGCCGCGCGGCTACATGGGGCGCGGCGGCTTCAGGGGCGGCTTCAGCAGGCCCATGCGGGGCAGCAACCTGCTGACGCCCCAGGGCAATGGAAATGTGGCCCCCGTGCCGTCGCTAAAGCGCAACGGGCCTGGAGGCATGCCCGGGCCCAAGCGGGGGCGCTTTGACTCGGGCCCACCCGCGCGAGGCTTCGCCCCAAAGCCCAACTACGCCCAGTCAAATCCCTCGCACATGAACCAATACAGCCAACCGCAAGCGGCGCCCAAGTGAGTATGAAATCTGAGTGTTTGTTTTGCTTTCTTTTGCTTTTCTTGCTTTTGCTTCGCGTCCTGAGCTTTGAAGACGGGTGAAAAGAGTGATAAACAGCGCGATTCTTATCTGCAAGTGTCTCACAATGAGACAGCAGAAATTAACACACTTTAGAAATTTATCAATAAATCGCAGTCTTTGGGAAATTCTTTGTGGTAAATAATAGTTACTAATGTGAAAAGCCACAAATTATTATCTCTCCTCGCCTTTCAATGCATGAGCGACAAAGAGAGGAACATTTCGCCTGTTTCGAAAAGTCTTGCTCGACATCCATCTTGTGCGGAAATTAATTGAGATTATTATCATTTAATCAATATCACAGAGTGTTTCTCGTCTCAGCGCCAAAAAGAAGGTGATTTTGCCGAGATGAGAAGGAAGCAATGGCAATAAATACAAGCACAGACTTTAAGCTGAAATATCTGCCAATTAATTTGAAAGCCACTTTGAGATTTTGCTGCGATATTATTGCCTAAAAATAGCCCAACACATTCTGCGAATGGTGTTGATGATGAATTTCGATGGAATGAAGAACGTGCCTGAAGTTCCTTTAATATTCAACACTGGATTGTCGATGAATGAGAAATGATTAATATTTATGAGTGAGGGGGAAAAAAAGGTGGCAAAAGTGTGATATTTGAGAATATTTAGGTAGATGTTTAAGCGATTATTTATGGTAATTGCGAGTGTCTCGCCTAATCCGGACAATGTCGGGAAAATCCGCCTAATTGAGCTATTGGATGGAGTGTTTTTTCTTTCTTTCTTTGGCGCTTGATCATCATAAATCAATACTATTGAACGGCGGGCATTTTTGACAGTGATGATTAACGTGTGTTTATTTCACAGTCACCAGGGATATTCGGTGCACGATGGAAATCACCAGCAAGGCATGGATCCCTATGCGCAGTCTTATCAACAGGCTCCGCCGCAGAATTACAGCAACAACGGCTACGCCCAGACGGGCTACACTGATCCGAATGTGCAGAGCACAGGCTATGCTCAGACCACCGGATATGAGCAACACTATCCGGACTACAAGTGAGACTCTAAATCGCTTCTTGAGCAACAGATTTCCAACACTGACAAATTCCCCTTGATTTTGCAGCAATTCAAACACGTATGGCACGCAAGACAATCGGTATCAGTACAACAACACGCAGGACTACCAAAGCGGAGGCTATGGAACGACTACCGATGGCTACAATGCCGCTCCGCAAGATCCCTATCAGCAGTCTTCGTACGATGACAGAACATACAACACGAGTTATGGTGAGTTTGAAAGTGATTTCACTAAAGTTTTTGCTGACAAATCTCTTTCGTTTTCCTTCAGATACCACTGCATATAATCAGGGATCGTACCAAAATCACGCCACTGGCTATTACTAAAGGAGCCACTTTTTGGCCACAGCGAGACGATAGAGAGAAAATCATTGCTGAGAGAAGAGAATTTTACAGAGGACGCAAGAAAGGTAAGATAGTCATGTAAGCGAATACAAAAGAAAAGAGAGGAAGAAAAGGAGAAAAATAGGGATTAGTATAGAAGTTTACTGGTTAATATCTTGAGTATGAGAAAAAATAAAACTTACTGACAAACAAAGAAAAAAAAACAAATAAGAGGGATATAATAATGAGAACACATACATATTAATCAAAATAAAAAAAGAAAAGGGACTAAAAAGATGAAAATGAAAAGAAGAATTATTGAAAAAAGGCAGAAGTAATGGAAACTTTACAAATGAATAATAATTGAATTGAAATGATGTTGAAAATACTGCACGATTAAATTCTACTGAATTTTGTACTTTCCGTACAGTGAGTTTTTTTCGTTTTATCAATAAGATTATTGAGAAAGTTCTTTACAACAAAATTAAGGTTTTAACTTTGTGATCTCTATAATTATCAAGATTTTTTTTTCTTTAATAGCCAAGATGAAAAAGTGACTATCTTTCTATATCAAATTTCTTTAATGACCAAATTAATGTTTTTATTCACACGGACACAATTATTAGACCATTGAAAAGTATCTTCAAACAAGGAGAAAAAAAGAGTATGAAGAGAGAAAGATTAATAATAATAATAATAATTAACTAGATAATATTGAAGGAAATATTGAATGATAAATTGTTCTCCAAGTTTATTCACAATTTATATATTAAACGCAAGGATAACATTTTAGTAGGAATAGTGAAAGATGAAATAAAAGTGGAAAATAACTTAGAGTTTCACTACAAGATTCGGAGAACAATATTTTGCGCGGAAGAATCTTCGTGAGTTTGAAAAAAGAAATTAAAAAGAAAACAGGTAGAAAATGGCATGAAAAGAATTGCAAATCACATTTAGAAAGCTCTTCGTGATTGTCAAAAGATAGCAGATTGTGAGTAGTAAAAAAGTCCTTTTTTAGGCGCATTTTAGTGACAACCTTGACTTTAACCATCATTTGTAATAATTGTAATATTTACCTTTATTCACGAGTAATTTGTATGTTTATGAAATTCATATGTGTGTGTGTAGAAGATTATTGGACAGATGCACTATAGTTGCTAAATCCTACCTTATATATATATACTTACAGAATATTATTAGATTTTAGGGTTAGGATAATTTTTTTATCAAACAAAACAATGAAATCTTCAAATTCAATCCGCCGTGCACGATTTTGCACTGGTCAAAGACAGGAAAAAATGTAGGTTTTTGAATGCTTTCAAACAAAAATAGGCAAAAAGTTTATATAGCATTATAGACTCAAGGACTCTGTATGTGTGTGTATTTGTTAAAAAAATATATATTCTGTGGCATTGATAATTAAAATGATATTCTGAGAATTCTAAAAATGGCATTTGATGAAGCTGCTGGTGAAGAATTGAGAGAGAAAATATCTGTGAAATCAGAGAAAATAATGATGTGAATTCTAAAGTGTTTTCTTTTACAGACAAAAAAAGGCTGATGAAATAACAAAAAAGTATATTTTTCTTCAGATGTTTAATTTAAAGTGTGTGTTTTTTTCTTTTAAGATAAAAGATTGTCTGAAACGTTGAGCAAAATAGTTTATGATAAAAACGAAAATATAATAAACTTTATAGAATGATGAGAAGAAAGGAAGAAAACTTGATGAAATCCAACGACAACAAACTTTAAGTGACGAAGAATAATGTTTGTTTTATCATAAATTGTATTTGCAAGTTTTGGTGCATTCTTATCTTGAGCACACTTTTGAATTTATTATATGTGAGAAAAGTTCCTTTTTTCCTTTATAAATGTATATTTTTTATTGTTTCTTTTTATGATTTCAAAAGAGTTTTTAGTTATTTTACAACAACAACAAAAATTCCTACCATGGAAGGCTAATAATAATAATGTAAATGTTGAAAAAAAAAAACTAATGAAATTTATTTATTTCAGAAGGTATTGTACTAAGAGAAGAATATGGTTAGAGAACGACTGAAAGCAATCTTCTAAGAAGCTTTACAATATATATATATTCTCATATACAGAAAAACAACAAATTATTCTTTTTCAGAAATGACTAAGCAATTTTTGAATGAAATGTCGAGAGAAAGAAGTGACTTTTTTAAGAGAGGACGAAGCATAGTGTGATATTCACAGTGATTAGTGAAAAATAACAATGATAGTTAATTATATAATGTTTTATTTGTTGCGATTTCCAAGAAATTTCCAAACTAATTCGTTAACGAGAATGATTAGGACATTCAGCTGAATCTCATGATGATTTTTTTTCTTTTCTTTTTGCAATGGTTGAAGAAGGGGGAAGAAGAGACATAATAAAATTTATTATTTATTCATTTTTAATATCGAATTTGGCAGTGTTGGTAAGTTTTTGATTGGTCAGAAGAGAAGAGAGAAGAGATGTTTAGCGATGAAGAAGAATGAGAAGCGAGAAGGCTTTCTTACCTGTGTGAGAGGAGAGAGAAAAAAGAGAGGGAGAGAGAGAAAAGGGAGATTAAGAGAAGAGTTGAAAGTTGAAAACAGAACAACTCAAAACTATAGTGCACTAAAATGAAAAATAAACTGAGATGAGAGAAGAAATCTGATGAATCTCTCTCCAGACAATAATGAAATGGAGAGGAAAACAAGACGCAAGTAAATAAATAAGAAATCTGACAGAGAGATGATGAAGAAGGGTAAAGAAAAAAAAGATGAAGAAAAGAGGAGACTGAGAAGGGCAAAAAGAGCTCTCAAAATGAAATAAATCAACACTGAAAAGTTCAATTAAATCCACAAAAATTCCGGTAAGTTTAATTTTATTGAAATTGTGTTTTCTCTTAGTTTGTAAGGATTTTTCAACGCACCTCCAAAGAAAGGCAGAAGAGAGAAAAGCTGGTGGTTTTTCTCTTGTTTTTCTCGGTGAAAATAATGCAAAGATGCACGCCGAGAATGTTGGCGAGGGTGCTTGAGAAAATGACCTCGAAAAAAGTGATGTTGGCTTCGGATAAATTCACATAAATTGCTGCTGAACATGAAGATGATGATGATGATGTCGGAGCCAAAAGAGGAGAAAGATTCGTTTATAAAAATTGCAAATAATTGAGAAGATTCCGTAGGTGTCGATGGAGGATTTTGATAGGGAAAGGCAATCGAGATAATTTAATTTCTCTCTTTGGCACTTGATACAATTGAATAATGTCCGCACTTCCTCTTCTCAATTTCCACACAGCGAGCGAGAGAGAGGAATTCTTCCTTTTATGCATTATTTTATATATATTCTTGTTAACAATTTCTTAATGAAGTGAAATGTTTTCGATTCAGAACTGAGAAATTATGCAAATTTCTCTGATTTCTTCAAGGGCGGCACAAACAGGATGAAGAAATGAGAATGAGAGTGAAAAAGCAAAGGAAGAAACATGTAATAAAAATGTAGAAAGACTAAATTTTCAATTTGTTAATTTCTTAAAGCAAATCTTAAGTAGTTGAAAGTATCTTTTCACTGACTAAATAGCAAAACATTGAGATATAATCAATATAGTGAAAAATAGTAAAGAAAAATGAAATCCAAAGAATGTGACACTTTATTAAATGCAGAAAAAAGCCAACATCACTAATAGATATGAATACTAAAAAATACGTAATTTTCGTAAAATAATCCATTTTTGCTTTCATAAAAATTCCTCTGTATTAAATTTCTAGTGGCAAAACAGTGGGAAAAAGTAATAAAAGCTTCTCATGCAGGAAAAATAATAAAGGTATTGAGAAATATAAGAAAATTTCACACGTTTTTAACATTGAAAGGAAAATGCAATTGAAACTTTTCCAAACCAAAAAAAGCACCCAGAAAAGAAGCATGAGTGACAATCAGAAAGTAAATATATTGAAGAAATGATAGAAGAAAGTCTTGAATTATTTGTTAAACTTTCCATAAGGAAAAATTCGACTTTCCAAAGAGTAATAAAAGAAGCGAGAGAGATGGAAATATTCTATTGTGAGAATGAGAATATTTGAGGCCAAAACTTCTTGTATATACATATAATACGAATGTTTTCCACGTGGAAACTGTGCGCTGTGCAGTTTCCATCCATTTATTATGCATTTTCTAACATTGCGCTTTCTTCTCCTTTTTCTATATTCCTCCCCACTGACAGCGCCCGTCTTGAGATGCTGCTGAGGAGTGTCTGCAATCGCTGAGGACTCAACCTCCCGCGGAGGCGACCAGTGACACGACGAAGCAGATGGTCACAGAGACGTCTTGGTGAGCGTCCGAGGCGCAAATGAGACTCAGTGAGTGTAAATAAGAGATGAATGGAGAGAATTCAATTGAATTTTTCCGCTGAGAAATTGAATTTCGTGCCATTTTCACCAAATGTGACCTCATCAAGTATTCCAGCTCTTGCGGATATTGAAATTATCTCCCACTTCAATCAACAAAACTGCAAAACTGATACGGTCATTCATTTTGCCCATACAATGTCACTATCTGTGATTTCTTAGGCTGTGATAGAGAGAGAAAAAGCACTGAGACTTTTGCGGCATTTTGCCAATAATAAATTTTGCAATCAATTAAAACTCTGTGTGTGTGTATTAATAAATCATCTTTTAGATCATGTAAGCAAAAGCCAGTCATGGAAGTGCGCGCAAAATTGGCGCGAAAAGCTGATGGTGGAAAATTGTCGCCAGTGTTGGTAAATATTTACAAGATTATCGCACAGCCTCAACATGGGATTTAATTGCGAGACAAATCACAAACAAAACGCGAAAAGGCTCTCAATTGTCCACTCTGCGCGCCACCCACATTTTACGCCTCTCCACACGACAGACAGACATTTGCTGGCTGATGCTGAGATGCAATTTGCCGGGGAGAGAAACTTGGCGGCATTAATTGAAAATACAACACATTAAGTTTGCAGGGTGTTTTATTGAACACAAATTGAGAGCAGAAATCGTGTGATTTTCCGAGAATATTGGAGAAGAATTTCACACTGAAGAACCAAATTGTCACTCGCTGGATGGCGCGGCGCTGAGACCACTAATGAGGATGCGGAGTGTGATGCAAAATGATGGCATTTCAATTATTATAATGAATGTGTCTAGGAGAGAAAAACACACAGCCTCAGGTGGATTTGTTTTTCTCACTTTCCATCATTCAGCCAAGAGGATGGCAAGTAATCAATTGATTGTGCGAATTCTAACTTCTTTGAGGAATCTTAATGGTCTCAATTAAATAATTAAATATTGATTTTTTACATTGCAAAATAATTGAAACTTTTTTTTTTAATATTTAAATAAATTTTAATCATATTCAAATATTTTCAGAATATTTAATAAGAATTTAAATTTATATAGCAAAAATAGTTGTAAAATTTGGCACACTCTGGATTTGGACACATAAAATTAGGAGGAAATACAATCAGAACTTCAACATGTCTTTAAAGTTTAAAAAAATCGAATATTTAATTTTTTTGACATAATCAAAGGAAGAGATTGAATAATATCAAAGGTAAATGTCTGAAATCGCGAGTGACTTCCTCCTTGGCTTTTCTCGAAAGCTCAAAGAGAGAGCAATAAAGCTGTGAAACGTCACAAAGGGAGGAAAGAAAGAGGAGCGAATGTTAAGACCGTTAATAGTTCAAAATCCCACGTCTTAATTTGATGAGATTTATTGGATTTTGATAAACTTATTTCCTCTCAAACTCTGTTGTATAAGCCATTTAATGAGCTTTATTCTACTTTAACCGCTTTAACTAAGGCTTTAGAGCACAAAATGTTTGCTGTGTGGAATGTCTTTGTGCCACTGAATGGCCCCTTCGGCACCTCGCTTTTGCCCGGAGGCGGTGTAAAATTGTGGAGCTCGCCGAGAGCCGACAAGCAGATTCTCTTAACGATAATCCTCTTGAACAATTAAAAGCATTTTATTGATGGAAATTTCAAGAAAAAGTGTCCAAGACCGGCCAGAAATTCCCTCCGCGCCAGATCTGGCTCACCAATTACCGACCCCTCGATCGATATTTTTTGCACGTTTTCGCTGGAACGCGAGTGATTTTTTTGTTGTTGTTGTTGTTGTTGGCCGATATAAAATATGTCAACTGAAATATTAATTTCCTCCTCACTCTCCGAGTGAGTTTATCCGATTGGCGCGCACGGGGTGAAAAAAAAAATTGTGCAGTGTGGCTTGAGGAACTGTTAATATTTCAGAATCACTTGTTTATCCGAGAGGTTTATTTTTGGTACCAATGCGGCGTGTGTGGGGAAGGAAAGGTATATCATATTGAATAAATAAAATTATTAATGAATTTGTGAATATCTCGATGGCGCCGCTTTTTGCTCGCGCTCACCAAAATGCACATTGTCTTGTCATATGAATCAGTCATGGTGGATTTTTTCATCGTCGTCATCGTCG